TGTTCAAGCACGAGCGCTGTATCCCTGCCAGCCATTTGGTAAGAACACCCGTTCAAGTGCACCCGCACTTGAACGGGCAGTAAGGCCGAAACAAAACTCTGGCCTGCCAAAGCGCGCGGCGACACCCAACCGGAGCGTCGTTGTTCATTGTTTGTTGGTTTGTTGGTTGTTGTTTGTTGTGTGTTGTTTGTTGTTTGTTGATTGTTGGTTGTTGTTTGTTGTTTGGTGTTTGTTGGTTTGTTGTTTGTTTGTGTTTGGTTTTGGTTGTTGCTTGTTGGTTGTGGGTTGCGTGTTGCGTGTTGCACGTTGCGCATTGCGTGTTGCGTGTTGCGGGTTTCGGATTGCGTGTTGTGTGTGTGTGTTGCGTGTTGTTTGTTGTTTTTTGGTTGTTGTTTGTTGTTTGTTGTTTGTTGTGTGTTGTTGGTTGTTGGTTGTTTGTTGTTTGTTGTTTGTTGTGTGTTGTTTGTTTGTTTGTTTTTGTTGTTGTTGTTGATGATGATGATGATGTCGTTGTTGTTGTTGTTGGTGGTGGTGGTGGTGGTGGTGGTGGTGTTGGTTGGTGGTTGGTGGTTGGTGGTTGGTGGTTGGTGGTTGGTGGTTGGTGGTTGGTGGTTGGTGGTTGGTGGTTGGTGGTTGGTGGTTGGTGGTCGGTGGTGTGTGGCTGGTGGTTGGTGGTGGGTGGTTGGTGGTGGTTGGTGGTCGGTGGTGGTGGTGCTGGTGACTGTGGTGACTGGGTGACTGTGGTGACTGTGGTGACTGTGGTGACTGTGGTGACTGTGGTGACTGTGGTGACTGTGGTGACTGTGGTGGTGGTGGTGGTGGTGGTGGGTTTTCTGGGTTTTGTGAGAATGTTTGGGTTTTTTGGGTTTCGTGGGTTTTGTGGGTTTTGTTGGTTTTTTGGGTGTTGCGGGTGTTGTGGGTGTTGCGGGTGTTGTGGGTGTTGCGGGCGTTGTGGGCGTTGTGGTTGTTGTGGTTGGTAATGGTGGTGTTGTTGGTGTTGTCAGGTTGTGGTCGTCTTGGCGGAGACACTCGGGGAGTGCGTAAATTTCTGCCACAACGCAAGAGCGTTTCACTCATTTTCCCATGTCCATTGCAGCGACAGCAGATTTTGACCGTGGCTGACAAATCTCAGCGTTGCTTTGGGGACCCGAAAAGAGGATGTGATGCCGCTTTCAAGGGCAGTTCGCGTTGTGTCCGTCGACGCATGGCTGTCGAAAATCGGGGTTCAGGGCCACGTGATACCAAGCAAAAATCCCTTTAATTGACTGGGCGGTTGAAACCTAAATCAGTCTTCAATGCGTATGCCAGATGGTAACGTTTTTCTTGCACAGTGTCCACAACGAATTGGGATTGGGCATCTCCTGGTTCCTTGATAACCCAAACTGGGAGACAGTCTCCCTATGGGAAGCTTCGGGTTTCGATTGCGAGTGCAAGGAGAAGGCCATGCTGAAGAAGCTGAAGGGTTTAGAGGACCAGTCCGCAACGGCGCTCGGTCGACCTGTGAAGCCCGAAAAAGACAGATGGATGATTTGTACGGCTGAGTGGGTCTGTTGTAGAACTCACAAAGCCAGTGGGTGCACTTTGCATTTTTTCCCTTGGTGGCTTTCCCTTTATTTTAGTGGTGGCCCAAAACGTGTGCACATGTTTTGGCTGGTCACTGGCCAAGTGAGAGGACTCAATGTCAAAGCTTAATCATCAGGGTTTCCGAGCCATGTCCCTTTTTGGAATTTCTAATAGTGTAGATCACCACTTTGAAAGTGAAATCCATTCGATGGGGATGGCTCCCCAGTGAGCCTTCCTCAGGCGCTCATGGTCTTCTTGCGCTTTAGACATGGTGACCGGCTTACCCTCTCGTTGCTAAACCTGAGCGCGCGTGCTTCGAACTGAAGAGGGTTTGTTCAAAGGCACGAAGAGCACTTCGGACGATCCCAGGGCCAGTCAGGTGCTACAGTATGTCGTGCTGTGATGAACTCGCAAGCCCATTTTTTGCGATAGGAAACCCCGGATGGAGTCAAAGGCTCCGGAGCTCAAAACAATGACCAAACCACGCTATGCTGGAATATTTCTATTGAGTCCTTGTTCCAAGGCTGTACCACCAGACCCCTAGAACATGAATCAAATGAGGGAAAATTGGGGCCGACGTGCTCTAAATATGGCTCAACTGTATTTCTTCTTTGGTCTGGGCAGTGGAAAACGAGTCTTCGACTTGTGTTTCCCTGCCCGCCAACGCACAAGTTTTTCACCCGAGCTGCAAGCCCATCTTCCCTCGAACTCGGATCCGGGTCCGAGGAGCGATGCTTCAAGTCGAGCCATGTCCAAGACCCGCTGATGAACAAGCTGCTGGTGCGGGAGTCGAAGGGAGCACTTCTTCCATTGGCTGAAATGAATATGGTTTATTTGACCCTGTTGATTTTGGTGGGAAACTATCACTACTGCAAATATGTTCATCTAAGAATATGGTTTATGGTTTATTTGACCCTGTTGATGTTAGTGAAAAAAACTATCACTACTCTAAATATGTTCCATCTGTTTCCAGGGGACTCAAGCAAATGGATGACTTGGTGGAGGTTGTTGGAGGTAAATCCTTCAAAAGCTTTATGGCCATTTGGTAGCGAATCTTTGGACTTTAGCTTGTTGGTTCAAGCAGGTGTGATTTTCCATCGGACACCAAAATAAGCTAAACTTTTTGCGGAGGGGTCAACAGCAACCAAGAAAAGTGAGAAAGCAATTTAAGTCCTCTCTTACACGGTGAAATGAGGGTTGGACAGAAAAGGGCGTCCTCTTGGCCTCTCCTTCAAACCATCCGATCGAGTCATCCTGGGGTGATGAATCACGTTGTCTTTTTGTATTATTATTATGTGTGTGTTTACATTATGTATTTATAGAGTCGCCGCATTTCCCTTGGTAGTAGTTTAGGGTACTTAACCCTCTATCTTTCGAGCCCTGCGCACGACTGCACTGACTCTGACGAAGGCGCTGTGCGACGATGCTGACATTTGGGAGGGCGTGAAAATCCAAGGCAGGTTGGCTGGCTGGCTCAGGAGGAACAAACGTTCACTGTTCTTGGCGAGGTGTCCGGTGTTTTGTGTTTTTGGATCTGTTCATTTTTAGTAGGGGGCTGCAACAAACAGTCAGTGTCTTGCAACCATACCAAGGGTTGTCAAGTTAAGCAGTTGCGGGAAATGTCGATGTACCACAATAGTCAGGAGACCCTAAATGGCTTCTGATAAACGAATTGGTTCTGATCACTTGGCAGCACAATCATGCGCGTAGCATCCAACGTGGAATCTGTGAGAGCCCGTTCTGAGCGCATATGCCCTATCCCGAGGCTACCTAAGAACGGGTGGGCTCTTTTAATTACCGGGCTCTTTGGGAATGAACCGCCTAAGCTACAAGGCATCGTTGTTGTTTTTTCCAATCAAGGAAATGAGGAAAGGGAGATGGGAGGATTCCCCTAACAAGCACAACTTAACTTGATGACACGGGCGTTCATGGTGCAAACGATATGTTCCACTGTATCAAATTGGCTAAACCTTTTGGGAAGACCTGGTAAACAAAAAGTTTAGATGCTTTTTCGGCCAACCCTTTCAGGAATCGGAAAACTGGAATCAAAAGCCGCGAACCAGTGGGAATCACGTCCCAAGATCGTCCCCCTCATGATGATGTTTGCAGGTTGGACACCAGCTGGAAAGCCAATTAAAGTCCTTTCTAGACTACCTTTGGGCTAATGTTAACCCCAGTTTCACGAGCCTCGACACACCTCACAGATCAATTAATGGTTCCCCGACAAGCGAACGACCCCCTCGCAAAACCAACACCCAGCCCCAAGGTCTACAGGCGCCCGCCAGAAACCCCAAAACCCCAACCGCCCCTCGTGTCGCCTTCGACGCGCGCAGCCAAAAAGAAGAAGCCGAAAGCTCCAAAGGAGCCGCAGGCGCCGAAAGGCCGGGCGAAGGAATTGGGTGGCCAGCGAGCTGGGATAGCGTAGGCGGAACTTGCCCCAGAAATGTTCGAGTTTAAAGATACAAAGGGGGAAACCCCACTCAAGGATAGACTTCTGTAAATATGAACCCATCAAAACTCCTATTAGGAACTCCAGTCACTAGTTATGGCTTGCTTGTTGTAAATTTCATTGTGAATTCTTCTTGACAATGTGATTGGAGGCTAGCAATCAGAGGGTTGTGGGAGGACACAAGAAATAAACTGGTGGGCATTGCCGACCATGGGTATCTTCCGTTCATACCAGCCAAGGGCTGAGAAGCACCTCAGAAGTGGTTGGTAGACGAAGAAATCCTCCGTCTTAGTGATGTCCGCCAACGTCACCAAAGGGTTTTTGGGCAACATGAGCGCCCCACTGGTGGTCACCTCCCACCCACTGACCTTCTGGGTTCTTGATCCGTTATACCAAGGTGAGTCGTCAAGGAAATCCCCTTTGAAGTGACAAGGTCGTCTTGATAACCCACGTTGCTATGACAGAATACACGTTTCCACAAGCATGGGCACAGCCAGACAGAAGAAAAGGAACACCACGCCTTAGAAACAGCCCCAATCACTAAAGCAAGCAGGGGCATACAAAGCCAAGCCAGCGAGCGAGGGAGCACGCATGAAAGCAAGCAAACAGCGCAAAAACAACAAAGCACAAGCCAAACAAGACAATGCAAGAACACAAACACCAAACACAACAGACGCAGAGCGGAGGAATGCCCCATGTTGGTATGCCAGGATACCCTCGCCATTCTGGAAGCTTTGAGTACAGTGGTCCTGCCTGCCCGGGACCCCTCAATAAAGCTGGCGGAATACTTGGGGTGCAGCTCCTCATAAATGCGGATCCCCACGTTGCATGCATCACAACCAGCCCAAATTCGGTTGATTCGGTGGATTCCTGACACGGGAAACGATTTTGCCCAGGTTCGGCTCGGATCTCCAGTCTGGTTAATACACGCTCTGTGTTTTGAGTATTCATCAACCACTTGGATCGCCAGTCGGGATCGCGTTTTTTCCATCCGCTTTACTCCAAAAACCAGCAACAGCGATTGAAAAAAGCGATCGCAACTTGGCTATCTAGGCAGGGTTGCCATTTTCCTCAAAAGAAAACCCATTCGGAGACAAACCCATGTGGGTGATTCATCCCACCTGCAACGAAGCCTCCCCAGAAAGCCCTCTTGCTCCAACTCCAAACCTTCCCCGGCGATACCAAGCAATCTCCCCGTTTGGAACTCCATCAATTGGTACCAACGACCATGGTGTTCCAAGCCTCCCCCCACCTCAGCTGAGGCAGCTGGTTCTTGTAGAGGGTAAATGGGAACCCACCCCCCAACCAAGCCACAAGCCACCAATGGGGGAAATGTTGAGCACCGAGGAAGAATCCACAAAACCGCCGAAAGGGCACGCAGATCGCTCGCAGGTTTAGTGGACCCTGCAGAGCTCTTCCGCTCCGGCAAGCACGAGGGGAAGTACGGGGACCTGGACGAGCGCGGTGTGCCACTGACCAATGCCGACGGCAGCGAGTTGAACGAGAAGCAGAAGAAGTCCTTGACCAAGGAATTCGAGGCCTGGGAACGACCTGATATGGGTGGCTCGATCTTCTTTTTTTGGAGTTGGTGCCCCTTTTCTGTGGGCTTAATTGCAGGGAAGCCAAAAAGAAAAAACCGCCAGTTTGGTGAGGCCCCAAACAAAAACAGACGGCCCCAGTGACCCATATGTCGACTTCCCGCACTGGCAAGCAGCTCGGTCCCCTTTGGGGGGATGCCTCTGGACCGACTCGGCCATTTGTCCCGCCGCCTCTTCAAGGCCACCAAGAAGAAGTGGGACGCCCACCAAGCGGCGCTCGCAAAGTACACCCGGGACTTGGCGCTGTTCGAAAAGCAGCAGGAGGGTGGCGCAGGGTTCCCTATTCTGTTCGACTACCTGTCCAATCGTGGAAGCAGACAGGGATGTTTTCCAAGAGGAAAATCCTCTTCCAACACCCTCCTGTTCAAAGGCCGGCTGTTTCCCGTGTTTTTTTCTTGAAAGGAGTCCTGCAAATGAGGAAGCTGGCGCTAGCAGGCGGGTGTTTAAGGGGACCAAAATGGGGGGTGTCCAACTTGAACCTTGTGGGACCTGAGAAAGCCTTTCGGTTGATATGGCAACATCACATCAAAGGAAGGCCATGGCTTTGGCAAGGGAAGAGCCAAAAGAAAGTTTTCTAAATTCTATGAGCTCACTTGCGAGTAAAGCCATAAAGCCAGCTCACATGATGTAGGTGCTCTACTTCCAGCTGCAATTCTTTGTTTCAGGTTTTGGAGTGGTTGGCGATCTTGCGGAGATGTTTCAGCTCCAAGCACTGCTTTGCCCCGGCCAGAGGAAAGGGTCATGAAAAAATGAGAAAAACGGAGTCCCCAATTGCCAAAATAGCCCTTTGGTCGGAGGAAACGGCTGAATTGTCTGCGGTTTGCCCTTGAGCCACAGGACGGCGACGACGGGAGCGTGCCGCCCGAGCAGAAGAGCGCCGCCTGCGAGGCACGGAAACCAAACCATTTGTTGTGGTTCTTCCGACCCTTCCATTTGGGTATGGCTCAAAATTAAACCAGGATATGGACCGCAGGCTTGTTTTTCCCATGCTTCCAATTACCAAACCCAACCCAGTTGGGTACCTTTTTGTTGACCCACCGCCAGGTGTGTGTTTTCCCTTATTGGTCTTAAAGGGAATTTATCACTGGAAGTATGTTCACTATTTTCAAGACTATGTTTTTGGTTTTCCTTTGGCTTTGAAGGGAACCGATTTCACGACTGGAAATATTTATTCTCTGTTGGGAGCGAAAACGCCAATGGAAGTCCTTCAGTTGACCCAATCGACCTGATCTGACCTTGTGGGGAAGACATGTCCAGTTTTCGTCACCCCAAAAGGTTCCTGAGGGGCAGCTTGGCAAAATGGGGTTCCAGTAATACTTGGTGGCTCCCAGCCATCCGGTTCCGTAGCCTTTTAGCTTTTTAGTGGTTAGTGAGGATTTCTATTTGACCCACTAAAAGTTAAACTTTTAGCGGAGGATCTGAGGACAGCCCTGGTAAAGCCTACTCCTTTCTTCTCCATCTTTTCCCCGACCGCTGAAAGCTATGAGGGCGCATAGGCCCAGATAGGCGAGAAGGGGTGATTCGCGGCAGCTTTCAGGGAGGGTTCCGGGGCTGTTGGGGATGCCGCGAAATGGGTGTTCCAACGTCCACATTTTGAGAGTTCCAAAGCTCCTCTTTCCGTCCCTTGCATCCCTCTTAATTTGTCTCGTCGATTTCCAAGAAGATGATACACCTTTCCTTGTCTTCCCTTCGAAGCCACCAAAAAGGGCGTGCCCAAAGAAAAGCCGGGAACGTCCAGGTGACTCGCCCGCGAAAGCGCTTCGCATAGGCCGCCGCCGTGGAGCTGCTGCGTGGCTTGCTGGGGCGGCTGGTGGCGGAGCACGCGGCGGAGTTGGCTCAGGAGGTGAACCAAGGCGCCCGCGACCCCGAGGAGCTGGCTGCTCTCACGGTAAAGGCCCGAGTCGAATTCGAGTCGAATTCGAATCCAAGGCTTCAAGCCGAAAGTCTTTGATTTTGTTGGAAGTCTTTTGCCCTGGGGTTTCAACTTAAGAAGCACACACCATTTTGGGGGCCTGATTCTACATCAAAGTCATCCTCAAAGTCATCCCCATCTTCAATTCCCCCAGTAGTGCCCTTTTACTTCTACCCTGTTTTGGGGAGGGTTCCCCTACTAAAATAGACTACAGAAAAAGGGCACCCCTATTCTCACCTCTCTACTGAAGAACCTAGTTGTTGTAAGCTGATTTTAATCAAACATCAGAAGAATGCCCCGAGTGAAATGAATACTGTTGCATGGAACTTCTTTTGTCCTGGGGGTGAAATGGAATCTATATAAAAGAGGGGACTTGAGCGAATGGAGGGATGTCGTTGAAAAAGTCGGCCAACAGGCCCCTCAAAACTAGGGGCAGTATTCTGACTCTTTCTGATGAAAGTCAGTACCTGTCCTTTTGGCCTACCACTTTGAGGATGACTATAATGAGGTAGATGTTTGGAGGGTCTCCCTACTTTGAGACAAGTCCAAATGGGTTGTTGTTTTCTTTTGGTTTCCGGAAAAGCTGCCAAAAATGGGGCACCATGTTGAGAAGAACGTCCAATTTCTCTTAAGGTGTGGCCCTTCTTGGTTTGTGTGCGTGTTTCTGGTCTGGCTCGGCATTGCCTGCTTTGGACACGTATGTGTTTGGAGTTGAACGGGGTGGTTTAATGGGAAATGTATCGGAAACGTTGTTTGGGCGTGTGTTTCTGTTGTGCGCTTTTGGTTTCTTCGTGCCTTTGGGAGTGTTTCAAAGCTAGGTGGGATGCGTTTACTTGAAGGGGTTTTGTGACTTCCGCAAGGGGAACCCCGGAAAAGGAGCCCTCCGAGGCCATGGGTTTCCTTGGAGCTTCGCACCTTGTGGTTTACCCCCAACGGTTCTCTTTCGGTTTGAGCACAAGGGCCCAGGGGCCCGCAGGGGGGGAGAGGGGTGTCATGCACTTGGATTGTTTTGAAGGGAGAGCCAGCCTTTTGAACACACCCAGCTTGTTCCCTTCAGAGTTAGCCCCCCTTGTTGAGCTGTTCTAAAGGAAAGCGATTGGTAACCCCTGATGTTGGTTCAGATTGGTGGGTTTGAAACCCTGGTTCTGTTTTTGGGAAACGAGAAACAGGAAAACCACCCGCTAACCTGCCCAAAGCTGACGTCCCTCGAAGGTGACCCTGGAGCATGAGGACAAGACCACGGATCCTGTGCTCAAGGCCACTTGCTCTTGGATTGCCTCCTTTACTTGGTGAGGTTGTTGGTTTTAGAAACCCTCTTTTCTGCTGGAGTTACACCCCTCCTTTTTTTGTTTGTGACCTCTTTCCGTTTGCTGGGGTTGCACCCATCTCTTTGTGTTGGTGCAGCTATTTTTGATTTGAATCTCTGCTTTTTGGTGCGGGTACTCCCGTCCACGTTCCCATGGAACGCAGCAGAGATCTGGTCCCTTTTGGAGGAGACCTGGTCAAGTTCCATTTTAGCGCATGGGAGGGTACACTTCACATCAACGAAACAACTATGTCTGTTCCAAGGTTTTTTTGGACGGGGCACGTTTCCCTTTGATACCAACCTAAGGGTGTTGTTTTCCCATGGAAATCCTCTGGTTTGGTATGTTCGGAGATTCCGGGCCAGGCCCTTCAGTTGGGAGGAGTTTTCGCCATCCCGAAACCTACGCCAGTATCAGCGGTTGCATTCTGAGGGCTCGCGCCAAAAGTTACTTGTGGGGAAAGGTTCCCTCAAACCCGGTAATGCACACCCCCCTGTTAGTAAACCTAACCTGTCCTCTAAATAGGTGGTTGTTCCCTCCAAATTTCACGAAATCCCACGAAAAAGGGGACACCCCCGATCAATATCCAGGGGTTTAATCTGGGTTTCCAAACTGCATGCCTTACTGTCCGAATTAGGCCTTGAAGACGGTGGACAAGAAGAAGCGCAGCGGAAAGACCCAGATGGATGAGCTGGGGGATGTCTTCCGACTGCTGAAGGAGGACGAGCTCCAGGTGGGTACACACGTTTGTTTTGGCAGCATCACCGAAGAGGAGCGGGCTGCGAACCGAATGGCCAAATTGGGTTTATACATTATATATATATATATATATATATATGCTACCCCCCCCCCCAGGTACCCAGGTTTGGGCTTGGTTCAGATGTGCTTTGACCGCGGAAGCAGGCAGGAAGAACAGCTCAGTTTTGCACACTGGGAGACTAGAGGAAGGAGATTTGCCTTATTGAAGAAAGACGCCTTGGACGTGACCCATGCCCTTTTTCAATGGCTCTTCCACACAAAATTCAATTCACATATCTTCCCACGCAAACTATGCCTTGTTTCGAAGACTCTTCCACAGAAAGTTCACAAATCCTCTCGCCCAACACATGTCTTTTTACATGTCTTTCAATGAATATGTGAAAGAGTTGCCAAGGAAAGTGAACCCTGTGTAGAATAAAGCCAGGCTATGGCTGGGACAGTTTGTGTTACATAAATGGTTTTACATGATATGTACTGTCTTTTGCTGTACTTTTTATGAATCACTGTAACCCTGACTCTTCCACAAAGACTCACATATCATCTCTCACACAAAACTTGTCTTTTCAATAACTCTTTTCTACAGAAAATTCACATATCCTCTCACCCAGAACATGTCTGCTTTCACAAAGGTTCGCATATCCTCTCACCAAAACATGCCATTTTTCAAAGGCTCTTCCACAGAAAATTCACATATCTTCCCACACAAACCCCTTCTTTCAAAGACCCTTCCACAGAATATTCACCATCATCTCACACAAAGCATGTCTTTTCAATAACTCTTCTCTACAGAAAATTCATTCATCCTCTCACCCAAAACATGTCTTTTTACATGCCTTCGATCACAAAGGTTCACATATCCTCTCACCAAAACCTCCTTTTTTCAAAGGCTCTTCCACAGAAAATTCACATATCTTCCCACACAAACCATGCCTTCTTTCAAAGACTCTTCCACAGAAAATTCACACATCTTCCCACACAAGCCATGCCTTGTTTCAAAGACTCTTCCACAGAAAGTTCACAAATCCTCTCACCCAACACATGTCTTTTTACATGTCTTCTTTCAATGAAACAAAGGCAGCATATGTGAAAGAGTTGCCAAGGAAAGTGAGCCCTGTGTAGAATAAGACCAGGCTATGGCTGGGACAGTTTGTGTTACATAAATGGTGGTTTTACATGATATTTACTGTCTTTTGCTGTACTTTTTATGAATCACTGTAACCCTGACTCTTCCACAAAGACTCACATATCATCTCACACAAAACATGTCTTTTTCAATAACTCTTCTCTACAGAAAATTCACATATTCTCTCACCCAGAACACGCCTTCTTTCACAAAGGTTCACATATCCTCTCATCATGCTCCGCAAATGTTGCGCAACATTTGGAATTTGTTGCGCAACATTTGCCTGGACCAAAAAACCAAAAACCAAGAAACCACAAAACCAAAGAATCCCAGCCATGGCGGGGGCTAGGATTGTTTTTTTTTTTGGTGGGTTTTTGTTTTTTGGTCCACAAAACGGCCTTGCAGAAAATGCATGAGTTCAATCAAAATACACTGTAAATATCAAAGGTTTTCATACATGATGCAACAACACCTGGGTACTGGGGGGGGGTTACCATATATATATATATATATGTGTATTGTTGTTGTCATACGGAGAGATTGAACTAATCAGTTTTTCCCACAAGTATAAAACAAATGAAGCAATTATATGTTCCCACAAATTAAGTTTTCCCGTGTGTATTGAACTATTTGACGTTATACAAATGGGGGAAATGTGGGAGATTGTGTCCAGTATCACACAAACGGAATCAGGTGTTAGGCATCGCAGAAGAGTTGATGATTCAGCCGCCTCACTTCAGACCAAAAAGCCTAGGTCAAGCAAAACAATCCCTTCAGGTTCCTTACGGAAAAAGAGTATGAGGAAACAAAACGGATGGTGAAATGAGCCACACAGCAGCTTCGGAGGGTTCTTGACCCAAGTTTAGGGCTATCTTGAAACAAGCAGACAGTGGTTTTGCAACACAAACTGTCAGGTTTGGAGGTTTTGCCCCGGCTTTTCGGCCACCAGGGTGAACTGTTATGTGGCAAATCTGTGGATCCGCCGTAGATGAAAGGAATACCCTCCCATGAGAATGTCAGGTATGACTTTTGTTCACATATGGAGGTTACCAGCACTTATCTCAGGAGTGTCTACTACCTTGGGGCCATACATTTATTTGGTTGGTATGAAACCCTGCATAGCTCCAAACCCCATACCTGTGGTGTCGAAACATCTTTCAGTTCGCCGGCCTGTCCGAAAGTGCGTCTTTGCGCTCGGCAAAACGTTTTCAGGAGGAAACCATGGATCAAATGCAGATCTACCACCAATTGTCCAAGGGTGTGTCTTTTTTAAGGTTGGACCCCCGAATGGTGGGTGCTCCTTTTGGTTTCCCTTTAAAGCCCACCCCAAAACCGGCACCCTCGAAAAAAGACACAACTTGCCATTCGTGCATGCTGTCAATTGAAAAAGAAAAACAGACATTGCGAGGGGTAAACTGACCCACTTAGGCTTACAGCACTTACAAACATGGATAAATGGGTTACAGCTGTGACCACTAGCGACTTACGAACGACGCTGCTCTGCCTCTGCACGTGGAGCGCCGGGTGCGCAGAGGAGATCGACTTCGTGGCAATGTGCCTGGACTGCCCGGATGGCATTGATCACGAGGAGCAAAATGGGTATGGGTCAAAGTAGCACCACCAGGGGACCGCATGTTTTAGTCTTTGGCTCCATTTACCAGGGTTCCATTTTGGGTACGTATTTTTGACCCACAGCCAAATCTGAATCCAAGCTTTCTTCCCGAAGCGTGCCGAGTCCTTTGGTAATTCCCAGCCATGCGGTATGACAAAACCAGATGGTTTGGTGGCCACTCGTTTAACGACCTGTTGGTCTCTTTATTTCCCCAGTCGGTTTTCAAGGGGTTCTCAAAGTTTGGGTAAGGCAGGTTGGTGGTCTTTGCCTTCGTTTGAAACCAGCCAATGGGGTTCCCACATAGGAAACACCCGGGCAACCAGTCAGTGTCCTTTTAGTTCTCAAAGGTTGTTCCCTTACCGGGCACCGGAAATTCATAGGCCGCGAAGCGCGCGCCACGGCCAATATTCACCCTCTACCGTGACATGAAAATTGCCGAATTGTCATATCCTCTTCAAAAGAACAGCGAGTATTCACTCATCGTAATGTCACGGTCTACGGCTCGTTTTTCATCAGGCGCTATAATGGACCATGTTCAAAACTCCAAGGCGTATCAGTGCTGTGGAAGCACCTTCGTCAGGTTCACGCCATTTGGGAGAGATGACACCTGCTTTGAACCCTGTCTGGTGCCTGGCGTGGGACCAATACTAGGTCCCCACTAGTGCCCTTTTACCCTTTTTTGGGGGAGGGTTCCCCTACTAAATAGACAACAGAAAGAAGGGTACCCTTATCCTGACCTCTCCACTGGACGACCTAGATTAACCAAATGTTTCCATCAAAGCAAACAAATCTAGCTGGTTGCCAGCCCTTCTTTGGGGTTTTCTGGCTTTTTGGATTTAGTGGGGTGTCCACTTGAACACACTAAAAGTCAGAGGACCGCCCAGAAATGTTTACCAACTGTTTACCAAATTGTCCATGTCCCTTTGAATCTCCTTGTTGACCACACAAAAAAATCCCATCTAACATGGAACCTGACTGAGAGATCCTGCAAAAAGCAATTTTCCCCTGAAGGGGCCATTTTTCCGGCGGGATCGATGTGAAACGAGAGAATCCCCTCAAGAAAAGTCCCAAAGTGGCTTCTCAACAAAAGAAGAATATGTCCCCCCACAGGTTCCTCCAAAACACTTCAGGGCTCCTCTTTTGTTTTTTTTGTTTTTTTCCAACCCGGGCTTGGGATTTCATGGCCCGATGTCTGCCAGGAGCTGAAGGCGTTCGTGGAGAACCGGGACCTGGAGCTGCAGAACGGGCGGCCCAGCTCGTTGGCCGGGTGTCTGGTGGCCATGCGCCTGGAGAGCTTCAAGAAGGCCGAGTCGAGGGTTTTGTTTTTTTGTTGTTGTTGATGGTTTTGTTGCTGATGATTTTTGTTGTTGTTTTTGTTGTTGTTGTTGTTTGTTTGTTGTTGTTTTTTGTTTTTTGCTTTTTGATTTTTGCATTTTTTTGTTTGCTTTTTTTCCTTCGGAGGGATCGGCGGCCGGAATCGAGATTTGGGCCTTCTTCTTGTGGTTGGGGAGGGGAGTGAGGGGTGGAGGGGGGGGGAAAGGAGGGGGGGGCCCGGGGAGGGGAAATTGCGAGGAGTTTGCCACTGCTTTTGGAGCGGTTTCCCTGGTTGACAAGGATCGGAACTTGCGATTTGAGCCTTCTGGTTGGGGAAGAAAAAGAGTGGGAAAAATTTGCCCATGCGGGACGGGGGGAGTCAGTGGGTTATTTTTGCCACTGGAGGGTTTTGGAGGGGTTTTCACTTTTTTGCTGTTGGGTTTTCGGTATGTTCCTTGTTCGTCCTTGTTAGAGGGGTTTCCCTTCAAAATCCACCAGCAACTAGATCCCAATTCCTTTCTTCCCCACTCAGTCTTTTGGGGGTGTCAGTTCCAGATTCACTTCGCATTTCTGGCCCCTCTCGATAGATATGGTGAACCAAAAGAAGCCGCCATTGTGTTAGGCGCAATCACACGCAGCCAAGACCACAGCGGGGCATCATGTTGAAGCTTGGAGCTACGTAGCTACATAGCTACTCACATAGCTACTCAGAAATATACAAATACATTGACTTGGTTTGGAATCGTCTCCACAAAAGTCCGCGCAGAGGGTTGCGTGAGCGAAGTGGAATTAACAGTAAGCAGCAAGTTGTTTCGGGGGTCGACCCCATGAAAGTCCGCAAAAGGTTCACTTTTTGAAGGTCGTGGGATTCAGTGCGCATGGGGGTGGGGCCGTGCCAATCGGCCCGTCTCCGAACAGCTCCGAACCCGCTTTGCCACAGAGGTGGTTTGCGACCATGCCGAAAAGCCGAATTCACACAAAGGGCTATAGCTTCTGCTCATGTCTTTTCCTCAGTTTTGCGCGATGATCAGCTTGTTCATACCTTTCGCATGCGCAAACGTATTCAACAGAGCATGTGTTCCCATACTGTGGAAGTTCATGTCAAACTTCCTTTGATAAACTATAGGAATGTCGGAACGATCAAAAATGGTCTCACGGAAAGCTCTTTCAGAAGGTGCGTTTTCCAGAACCAGTGGTTCCAAGTTTGCTGGATGCTGGGCGGCCAAAAAGTACCAATCACTCACGCAAAACAAAAACAAATGTTGACCCCGGATGAATAAACCCATCGTATTAGGGGCACGTGCTTCACCATGGGTTGGGTCTTGGCATGATGGGGGAGTTGCTCCTTTCAGAGGGATGGGTCTTGTCATGGCTGAATCGGGGAGTTGCTCCGATCAGGGATGAGGATTGCAAAAAGAAAACATGAGTTCATGGTCGGCCTGGGGCTTCGCATGGGATGTCCAAAAGCAATTCTCTGTCTCACTTTACACCCAGGAGTGGAGCACTATTGAACCCTGGACAAAATCCGCCAATTCCAACTGGTTTCAACCGGCGTGCGTGAATTGTGTCCACCGCAGTATGGTTTACCATTTGTTCAATCACACCCCACAAAAGGTACTGTTGGATAATTCTCTCATGTGGCTTTCATCATCCTCGTTATTGACTGACAAACAGGGGCCAGTTTCATCGAGGTTCACGCTGGTGAGTAGCGGTTGTTTTTATTTTCTGCTGAAGCCCACGCCAAAGCCAGAACTGACAGTAGGTGCAGCGAGACCCTCCCCAGGATGAAAGTTGATGGCGCAACTCCCTTGTAAGCACACGGGATGACCAGTCAACGGGAAACCATTTGGAAAACCTGCCGTTCTTCGGCTTCCCTCTAATCTCTAATTGGTGGTTTGGATGGAGGTGTTCGGAGGTGTTCCCATTGTCCAACGTTTGCGAGGAAACGTTGGCCAAATTGTCGAGGCAGCCCAGCCATTTTGTCAGACCCTTCCACATGTTCCAATGGCCCACTCGGTTGACTTGGCCAAAGGAACCCAACCATTTCCCTCGGCGAAGCAAAGCAAAGCCATCTTGTAGGAAAGCCGTTCGGCCATCTCGGGGGGTCCCTTGTTTTCTCCCAAGTCCTCCGAGCATTGGGGCGGAGCCGTTGTTTAGGGGGGAATTCCCCCAAAAGAATGTGTTTTCTGGTTTTTCTTCGGTGTCCCCTTTACACCCAAAGAAATGCCAACTCAGAACAGCGAAACCACGAGCGAGCGAATCGGTCAGGCGGGGGGTGCTGAGCCGCTGATGAGCCCTCGGACCTGGAGGATGCTCAGCGTCTCCAAGGCCATGAGATCAAAAGCCGCGCCCGGTTTGACGTTGGGAGTCAAGAGGGAACCGAGTCAAACGCGGGTGGATAAATCCCACAGACATAAATCCCCTGTGCGTGTCTCCGTATGATTTGTCCGGGGAAGGGGGAGGAGGGGTAGAGCAAATTGAGGGATACCTGACAGTTGGGGGGTTGTACAAGTGTATAACCCCCCTCAGAACGCAGGGAAACCCAAGCCCATTTCGAATAGTTGCAGGAAGTGGGTTTCGTCGCCAAAAGTTCATTCTTCAGCTGGGTCTTCAGACATGGCTTGACACGTGGGTATGATTGGTTGGACCCTTTGATCGGAGATTCGGTTCTTGAAACCGGACACGTTCTCTTTTTTGGCCAAAGCGCAAGAGTCGTCACATGCCTCCCGGTTCCAGAAAAGCCAAACTTCGTACTAGGCAGGTCCCAGGAAATTGATTTGCCCAACTCGATCCCCAGATTTGCGAGCCAACGGTGGGAGAAAGGCGAGCCATGTGGCAAAAGTTTTATCACTAAGCCACGCAGAAGCAACTTTTTGCTGGGGTGCTTGAGACCAACGCAACGATACACCAAAATCGTTACTTTGGCTCCTTATTAAGACCAGCAACAGGGGAAAGGTGGTTTGGAAGTGTAGTTTGGAGGTTAGCGGATAGCTTCTCATCCTCAGCAAGAACCAGGGGTTCCAATCCCCAAACCACTAACGAAAGGTTGCCTGATTCTGGGTGCCACATGAGGTCTGGAAAAAATAGACATCCATCCCATCTTGAATTCCTTTTCAAAAATATGGAGGAAACCGCCCCTGCAAGTAAAAGTCATATAGTGCCTTTTGCCAGCTTCCTTCCGGTGAGCTTCCTAGGGGAGAAATAGCGGGAGGCGAGCTGAAACAGTCGGGCTCCGGGCGCGGGCTCAGGAGGCCAATGGCAAGGAGAGCAACGCGGAAAACGGCGTGGCACCGCCGGTGCCGCCACCCGAAGAATCCCCGCGGGAGAAGGAGCCGGCGGAGAAGGAAGCTCGGCTTGGCCATAGTTTTCCTTCACTGGCCTTGGCTAGTTTTTTGTTTCTGGTGATTGAGTTCGGTTCATTTTTTGGTTGGGGGGCTGCAAACAAAACATGTTTTTGGCCACCATACCAAGGGTTGTGAGTTTGCCACCCCCCCCCCCCGCTACGCTTTCTGATGTCCAACACCCTGTCCAAAAGTTTGATGGTGCGGGTAGACCTTCAGATGTTTGGTATGAGGGGTTCATATCCTGCAAGCTCTGGATGGATTAAGGATCAGGAAGCCGAGGAGACGAAGGAAAAGAAGGAGAAGAAGGAAAAGAAGGAGAAGAAGGAGAAGAAGGAAAAGAAAGACAAAAAATGAGACCGGTTTTCAGTCCCTGCGGGGACCCCTGCATCGAATTGATCAACCGTCAGCACCACGACGCTCCAGCAAGGTCCATGTTCATCATACCACTGCTCCAAATGCCCACCTCTTTAGGATATCATGTTAACTCCAAGCAAAAAGGATGTGGTTTTCCATGGAACACCTGGTTTTTCTATATACGTCCTGAAACAAGAAGCTATTTGGAGTAGGAGGTATGGGTTTGTCTCAAAATGTGGTCCTTTTGTTTCCCTTGAGCACAATCCAAAGGCACCCTCGAAAAAGATATACATACACATGTTGCAGCTGTGTGAGCAAGAACAGTTGCCAAGCTATTGCAGGAGCGCCTGCACCCGTGTTTCACTTATGCAAAGGGCGCTTGCAAAGAATGAACCAAGATGCCCGAGATAATGAAAGCAGCCAGAAAGACTGCCATAGAGTGAACGCTAAAGATTGCGCGCATACAAAGGCGTCGGCTCGCGAGGGCATCGCCGCAGCGAGCTCACCGTGGGGTAACACGAGCTTGACTAGGCCTAAAAAGTGGAATGGAGTGTGTGCTGTTAAGCCAGATTACTTCATGATCAGAGAATGTGTGCAAATGTGTGGCCCTTGCTTTAATTCGTGCACACAGGCACTTGGCCATGAGTGGTGAGATCATGTGAGCCACACACAATTTCTCCTGGGTAATTCAAGCTGGGAGAGTCCCACCATAGTGGGGCAACATGCCCTTGCGGTTCTGCACGGGTTTTGGGAGCCTAATTTCGAGCAATGAGAGTGTCCAAGAACCGCCTTGTTGAAGCAAACCAAACACGCCCGCACGCACGCACGCACGCGGGCACACGCACATGCACATACACATACACACACACACACACACACACACACACACACACATACACAAACACACAAACACACAAACACACAAACACACATGCATGCATGCATGCATGCATGCATACATACATACATACATACATGTTTTCTTGAAGGGCCCTGGAAATACCAAATTGTCAAACACTCTAGGGGGTGACTCCCCATTTTTTTCAACCAGGATGTTTCATCCGAAATCGGGTGTTTCGGCAGGTTGTTTGGTTTTCTGGACAGAACTCAGGCCCGGAGTTTCTGGACCTTTCTTTGTGGGAACACCATGGTGGTACTCCAATCCACTGGAAGTGAGAGTTTCGGGCGTTCCGCTGAGCCGCTGGCTCAAGAGCCGAGTGCGGGATGAAACCCGCTCAGTTTGACCCAAAAGGGAGCCCTGAAGTTTGAGGGCAGGGTCCAACCTGGGTATCCAGCCATGGGGTCAAATACGGCCAGCACCGGAAATCAGAGGGTCCCCTATGAGTCGAATGTTGCTGGGTTATCTAGGTTCAGATTCACATCATGCGTGCCTTTGGGCGTCGCGCCGCTGCACCAGCTGAGCCGCAATGTCCGGTGCTGCCCTTGAGGGATGCATCTCGGAACGCGCGTTCCATCCTGTCCCCTGTTGTTTTGGACCTCTCAGAATTTGTTTGGCGGTTCACTGAAGTCTGTGTGTGAAAGGGGTCCGCCGCTGAAAATAAATCAACCCCATGTAAGACAGGCTTCCAATTCGCTTTTAGTTTCTGAGTAGGCAAAAACAGCCTTGTTCGACAGGACTATCACTGCTGGACATATGTCTGTGCTTTTGCTAGGGGACCTAAGCAAATGGAAGTTTTCCGGCCAAGTGTCCATCCACACGTTCTTCTTGTCTTTGGAGCACCCCTAAAAGCGAACATAATTTCCCTCATGAGCCAAGCTCATCGTTTTGGAAACACGCGAATGCGTGAGTTTCCTGCTGTTTCCTGACTTTGCTCTTCGAAGTGACCTGAACGATCTTTTCAGCTTGCCAAATGATGCTCGACCCATATCCCTGCCCAAAAGGTTCGATCCGAACCATTTTGATCAGAACCCATTCAAAGAAAATACTAAGAACCTGAACCTTTCCAAGACATTTGCTGAAATGATTCTCAGACTGAGAAGGTTCCTTCAAAACCCCTCCTCTTCCAATTGTCCGTTGCTCAAAACTAGTCCTCATAGTCTCTATGCCAAATGGCAGTGGTTTCGCATGTTGTAGTGGTGTCCCACTACGCACAATGTCCGATCGCTTAAAATCGGAGTCCATCTGCAACAAAACAGGAGGGGCGCTTTGGGGGGGGGGGGGGGGGGGGAGTGTCTTCTTCAAGGCACGGGTGACGCCAACGCCGTTTTCGGCGCAAACTTCCGCGACGTCTCACGAGAACACTGTGACCTGGTGCTTCGATGCAGAGCTCGTCTGGCCTTTGATGGGCTTCTATGCAGAGCATTCCATTCCTGTGCTGGTGACTTGGCGCGTACCTGACCGACCGAGCGGGTGGCTTTTCGGCTTGCCCTTGACACTGAGGTGAATTCGGTGAGCACGCAGCCTTTCAGGGGTTTTGAAAGCACGTGCCTGATGGTGACAGGAGCAGGGTTGGGCCTGTTTATAACATGTTTAAACACCCATAGGCGAAACAACCGCATTTGGGTTCCCCCAAGAAATGGTGGGCAAGGTCTGGTTATTTGAACAAAAAGTTTCGCAACCCTGAACAGGAGAGGTCCAGAGATCGCGTTTGAAGCCGCGCGAAGCGAATGCCGCACCCATGCCAGTGGTCCTCACGCTTGCTCCCCGCGGAGATGCGTCCAGTGAGTTTTATGTGGTTGGTGTACAAGGAAGCAGCAGCTTGAATCGGTGCCCCGGTTCATTGACAGCCAGTGGATGCTTTTGCCGAAGGCTTCCCTTTGGGGACAAGTCGATCCTTGTTCCTCATGTGAGCTTAGTCTACGGTTCAGTTGGGCGGGACAGGTGGGTCTTGCTAAATATCCCCAAAAGAACTCAGGATGGCTGGGGCTTACTCGTTTTCATATGTGCCTTGGGGGAACTCGTGAATTTTGACCATCAGGTGCAGCAAGGAAGCATGGCTGGCTGTTCGGGCAGATGGCCTTCCCTTCACACCAGCTTTGGGCGGTGCCCTGCAGCCTGGAGCCGTGCCTATGACTTGCGCAAATGTTCCGGGGAAAGCAGCCAAGAAAGGGAAATGGGTGAATCTTTAGGGTATCCCCAAAAAATATGAGTTTTTCCTTTTCGCTTCCCTGTATTTCCTACCACAAGTGAGCCTCAAAAAAGACAGACCCATAGTACATTCCTTGCTTCATAGGGGTGTGGATTTCGGCTGGGATCCCTCGTTTCCGGTCTCGGAATTTGCAAACTTCCAGATAGGGCGCCTCAAATTCAGCACGATCAAAAACCCAGGTCATTGGGGGTTCTGAGCCAGACCCGGGTTTGATTGTGACTCAAGCAGTCCAGTTGCCCCAGTTGCCCAGTGGATTCTGCCCCTGTTTGCCTTCTTTTGGTGGGACCCCATTCCCTTCAACTCAACCGACCCAAAAAAGAGATGCCGACGTGTTTCTTTTTCCCCCTGAACATCCGCTGGCCCTCCGTGTTTTTTTTTTTCCCGGACGCTGTGCTCGGGGCCCCAAGCGCGGACGGATTTTTCGAGGTGCTGCTGCTGCAGCGGCCCGAGCGCGTCTACGTGCTGCGGAGCCCGGAGGAGCAGCTGAGCCGCTTGCTGATGGACCTGGCCCAGAGGCAAGCCACTCGGGGAACGGGGGCGGGAGATCGTCTCTCCTTGTTGTTTCCTGTTGTTTTTTTGATTTTTTTAGAGCCACACGAGGAACGGTTAGGGGGGAAGGGAAGGTCTCTCTTTTTTGCTGGGACCCACCAACCAAAGAAAAGTGGATGTGTTTCTGGGAAGCCCCGCCAAAAAGAAGAGTAAGAATGTGGCAAAACCTCAAAAAGAAGATACCCTCTAACAGATGGCCCCCCCTTTTCACACGGGCTTTTTCATGGAAACAAGCTAGAAAGCCGAAATCCATGTTTTGGGTCCAAATCTTATTTTCATACGTCAGATTGAAGACGGTTATTTTGGGTGTCTAGCGGTCAGAAATGCAGATAAAAAGAGAGGGGTTGGAACTGTGGGGGTCCACCAGCAGGTTTGGGGTGGAAAAGCGGCGTGGCCCCCAATCAAAGGAGACCTTTTTCTTTCTTCTGTTTTTTTGTTTTCGACCCCCAACCTGTTTGTTCAAAGTATCTCCCAATTGGTGGTTGGGTTGGTGGTTTGGATTTTGATTCGAACCTCTGGTTCTTGTAGAGGGTAAAAGGAAGAGTGCCCTCAACCACCTAACCACCAATCTAAAACCATAAGCCGTAAAGTAAAGTAAAGCAGAGGTGTGGGGTTTGGAAAGCAACGGCTCCAAGCAAAGGGGACCCACTGTTGACCCCTGTTGCCTGTTTCTTGGTTGCCCCAAAGCCAAAGAGTAAACCGGAGGCCGGGTATCCTTTTTTGAGTTCCATTCCTGACCCTCCCGAAAGCAAACACGGAAACCGCAAAGGGACCCTCGTTGTTTAACCCAGGTTCCATGTCTGTTTTTGGGAGGGTGTTTCCCCTGCAAATTGGTTAGTTAGGTTCAGTGTCAAGCTGGGGGGAGAGGTTGTTGACCCCTGAATTAATACACTCCGTGACCCCTGATAGGCCCTTGATGAACACATCCAATGGTACATGTGTGTATACATATCCGATACATACTCATGCTGTAGTTTCGTTGATTTTGCTCGATTGTTATTGAAGGGATTTCGTTTGAGTGATTGGATTCCTCCAGTTATTGTGTAGGACCCCCTTTCTACTTGGATTCCTCCCTTCCAGGGGAGATTCGGTCCCCTGATTCATGCCTCGGTTCATTTGCAGGCGTGTTTCCTCAGGGAAGAATCCCTACTAAAATAGGGGGACCAGTACGATTTGCGCCTTAACCAATTTGGGTGCTTGGCTCGTTTGATCCCCCAGCTTTTGGCTCAAGAAGCGCTTGCGTTGTCGGGGCAAATGCTTGCCAAGACCAACAATGACGTTGGCCAGGGGTGGACTCCTTAAGTGCCAGCTTTCGATTGCTTCCTGGACGTTAGTCACTTGGGTTCGGACCGTGGGGGGTTCAGAAAGTTCGGACTTTTGGCTAACCTCGACTGGGGGACATCGCGGACAGACCGCGCCATCCACCAAGCCACCTCGCCATACCTCTTGGCCAATGGCTTTGCCGGAAGCAAGGGGCCTCAGTCAACTTTTGCCAAGTGGGTTTGTGGGTTGTTTGTCTGTGGACAGTGCAGTTGTAGTTGGAGAGGCTGCAGATTTGCAACCTCTCTCAGTGGCTTTGTGGAGTCCTTTTCAAGTTTTGCCTCACACACACACAGAAACCCAGCCACACACAAACTAAGTATAACAAACCACTTTAACTTGCCAATTTGCCCAGGTTGCCAGACCTGCCAACCTGGCATGCTTAACATTGCATAAGCAAATCAACTCTCCAAGTTTTGGTTCCACTGTGACGTCCAGCCAAACTGCCACTTTCAATGAGTGTGTGGTTTGGTGGGTTTAGGGTGTGGTTTGGTGTGGTTTGGGTGGTTTGGGTGGGTTTGGGTGACACACACCACACAATCACCACAGAATAACCACAGACACATTCGTAGGAAGGGTTTGCTATTCTGCAGGCTGAACAGTTGATAAGCAATGGCCGAAATCCGAAATCCTCTTCATGCACAATGGAATGGGTCGCTATCTCTATCCATATCCAATGGATATCGATATCTCTATCTATGTGGGGATGTATCAAAATAGGGGGGCCCACACAATGGCAGCGCTTTCCTCCCGGAAAAAAGAGGTACCCAAAACAAACAAAACCCATATCTATACCCTTTTGGCTTTTGACGAAAAACACGTTTTGGGGGTGCAATTCCTAAAAAGAGGAGGCTCGCATGTCTCTATCTACGTATATATCAGGCAACCCTTAATCTGTGGTTGGATTGGTTTGGGAAAAATTGAACCTCTGGTTCTTGTTCGAGTTACCTCCCCGAAAGACCTCGAAACCGCTTCGGCTGGCTCCAAACCACCAAGGGGCATAGGTGTCCTTTTTAATTGATTTGGTTGAAAAATCGAGGGCGATTCCTGGTTTACCTGGTGGTTTTCTTTTAACTACCAGGGAAACCCATCTATTTTCAACCAAAAAGGACACCTATGGATGTGGGCGTTCCTGTCGGGGCTTGCCTTTGAGACCAACCAACCATGGGTTCACCCAAAAAGAAACTAGGCAATCCTGCTTTGTTCTTGGGGGTGGACACATAATGTTCTTTCCAATATTGTGGGAACATGGTGGTGGAACATGGTGGTGGAACCCTAAGCACTCCAAAAAGGACACCTCTACCAAGGGGGAAGTCGACCGCTCCACGGCCTCGGCTTTTTTGCGCCAGGCGCGGGCTGCGGCTCTTCGCGGCGCCGGCGGGCTACGGGGCGGTGGCGCTGCTGGGCGAGGCGCGGCTCGCGGAAGGCCTGCCGGAGCTGCGGGCGCAGATCCAGCAGCCGGGAAGCCCAGGTCCAGTGCCCTACGGTTTCTTTTTTGGGGGAGATTCGGTTCTACTCAAATAGCCTTAACCTCTCTGGAGGAAGCCAGGGCGCGAGTGGGGAGGGCCCCTCTTATGGCGGATCTCAGAATTGGGAAAAGTCGGGCCCCAGAAAAGTCATGTGGAGTTTCCAGGGCTCAGGGGAGATATTGTAATCAGGGGTCAACGTGTTTGTTTTTCTACCTGGAGCCTCCGTGAGTCTCAGCAACATCATCTACCCCAAAGCCGTCATCCCACTTTTTCAGGGTGGAGACTTGGCTTGCACGGCAACATTTGTTCCTGTCCCCCCAAACTTTCGGCGAAGTTCGAGAGCGGGTTGCAAGATTCGAAAGGGCGCCTTGGGAGATTGGTCTTCTTATGCTGGATCTGCCTTTGACCTTGACCAACCAAGAGTTTACCAGGTTTGGGTTGAGTTCCCCTCAAGCATGAAGCCAAAAAGGGCCCATGTGGGTGGGTGTTTTTTCCCGACCAAAGGACCGTCTTCCACATGGAAGTTTCTGAGGCAGTTCTCCATCGTCCTAGCGCACTGCGAGCCCATACCCACCGTCAAGGCCGGTTTGTTTCCACCAGACCTTGGGCCACCGAAATATGGTTCGGATCAGTCAAGCCATTGAGAGGTGACGCAAAACTCCCACAGGGGCAAGCCCCGAAATGTCCCGGGAAACACGTTGAAAATGTGGACCATTCACATGAGGTACAGATGGGTGCAAGTGCAATGCATTTCAACCCATGTTGGTTTCGTCATCCCCTTTACCCACATCTACCAGGACTGGTCCCGGGTACTTTCACAGTGTTTGCGGACCATATGGATCTGGGTAAAATATGGCCTTGTCTCCACATAGGGGAACCCCACAAATGGTGGAAGTCCTTTTCAATAGAAAAGAAACAACCCCCCTTGGGTGTGTCTGTTTTGAGGGTGCTTCTTGTTTTGTGGTTTTGGAAGGACATTTTAGGGGGCCCCCTGGACACACCCGTGACAGTCCCAAAAGCGCACCCCTCAAATGGTGGCTCCTTTGGTTCCCTTTAGGCCAACCTGAAAAGATAGGGACAACTCCCCCAACTTTGTTTCCTTTGAATCCATTTGGCTGTGGGTCACAAATAATTAGGTACCCAAAATGCAACCCTGGAGAATGGAAACAACAGCTGAAACCTGCGGTCCCCTTGACCCATTTGATTTCCCTTGAAACCACCCCGAAAAAACGACTCGCCCCTCCTCATTCGCTCGCCCCACGCAGGCGAGCGAGGCGATCTTGCGTCGTTTGATCGCCTCGGGCGCCCGCCACGTGCTGTGCCAAGACGCATGGCAGTCGGTGGAGTTTCCGTATCGCCTCTTCCACTCGCAGGCGCAAAAACAAGACTCGAGAAACCAGAAGTGGGTGCGGGCATAGGTGTCCTTTTTTGTTGATTTAGTTGAAAAATACGGGGGGGCGATGCTTGGTTTACTTGGTGGTTCAATCAACCACCAAGGCAATCTATTTTCCCAAAAAGGACACCTATGGATGTGGGCGTTCCCCTCGGGGCTTGCCTTTGCGACCAACCAACCAGAAAATTCACCTAAAAAGAAACTAAGCAATCCTGCTTTGTTCTTGTGGGGTTCTCTTGACTTTGTTGAACACATGGTTTTCTTTCCGACATTGGAACGTGGCCTGTTTGCGACATACCCCAAAAGGGGTGGCCCTGTGAAAATGGGTTCCGCAAAGCCGAAGGGCTTGGGTGGGGGGCTGGTGGTGTGTTAGGTGCCATGCGAGCCATGCGAGCCGTAAGGAATCCTTTCTGAAAACGACCCAAGTTGGAATCCCTGGATCAAGTTTCTGGATGGATTCGAATCAAAGCAGTTTCGTCACTGGGAAGCAGAACCCTGGAACCAGTCCAAGGCTTCGTGAGCCTTCCTGTGAGCTTTTGTGGAAAAAGAGAGCCTCAACGGGGGAGCTAAAAGGAGAAATTTGGGAAGGCCTGTCGAAACGTGATTCCTTTCAGGTGAATACCAAGTTTTCTCCACTCGCAGCGGGCCTTGAGGAAAGTCATCTTGAAGGGAGAATCCCCCCCATTTGGGAGGGAAATCCTGCTGGATTTGAATAGAGAAAGCTCAGGGATCCCATTTGCACAATTCAAGAAGATATGTAAACGCTATCAAAAAGATACTTCGAAACATGCCGTGACTCGATTATTTCTTGCTAAGGAACCTGAACCAGCTACCTCTTTGCGACCATCAAGTGGAGTTTCCGGAAAGAACTGTAGTCTTCCACTTTTCTCTGATCCTCAGCTTTCTTTTATTTGGCGTGGTGCGGCCGAAAGGGGCTGGTTTCCCTCTTTTACCAGAATTCCCATGATTTGGACGCTTGGTTTTGCCTTTCACCTTCCTTTGCTTGCTGAGGGAACAAGTTTGATCAAACAACAGAGAAGTCTTTTGGGCGAGGGAAACCGGTGCGCGTCTCCATCGGCGTTTGGTTCAGGCGCTTTCGACGGACGCGCGGAGATCCTCGAGGGTGCCCTGTGTGGATGTGGCCTGCACTCAGGTGAAGGCCTCTGCAAAGGCGAGGCCCCGTGTTCTTCCCGTTTCCGGTTGGCGGGGTGGGCCTTGAAATTCCGCCGAAAAGGAGTGCACGCCCATTTGGGCCCTGGCTCTTGGGTCGAGGAATTGGAGCTCGATGTTTGAGGACAGGATGAAATGGCACAATTCCATCCTGGCGTCCTCTTTAAGCCAATTCAGTTTCCGGAAACTGGCGAGCCCAAAATAGGTTGGAACCACCATCCTTCACCCCCTGCAGGTTTCGAAAACTGAGTTGCGAGAGGCCCCTCTCAAGCCCGTTTTATGGGTGTACCCACTGAACATATCATAGCCATTGGGGGTCGTGGTGATTGCTTCTGCCCAAACCATCCAAACCATTCCGAAGGGGGATCAACTCGTTTGGAGAAGTTCCTTTGAACTCATCCGTTTGAGCTCCCTTTCAACTCCCCAAACAGGGGTCAGCAGGGCTTTGCCGGGTGAGAGGCCCCAAAACGGCCAACCTGTTGACCATACTCGTGACAGCCTCCTTTTAGTTTTCCTGATGGCGTAGCGGTTTCCCTCAAGCGAGCGTTTGGGCCCGTGCCTGGCGCCAGGTGGTGGCCCAGCTCGCCTTCTCCCCCGCAGTTCGGCTCACTCAGCCCTTGGCGCCCTTCCTCGCCCGCGCCGAGGCCCGTCGCTCGGGCCTCGCCTTCGGTTCCCGCTTCGGCGAACCGCGTCCCGAGAGCTGAAGTCGGAAACTCTTTGGGACGTCTACACGTTTAACAGCCGGAAGCTGCCCCAATTGGACTCGGTACTTGGAACCAAGTCTTCCAAAGAGGTCCTGGAAGCTTCCATGGTAGTCTGGGGAAGGGAGTTCCATGCTCCAAGTTCCTTAAAAAGAAGGCAGGCTGGTTGCGTTTCTTTCCAAAAGGTTGCAACTTAACTAGTCAGGACACTCAATAGCCCGGTTTTTTCTCAATCCCATAGTTGGACTTTAAGCTTTTTGGAAGAACCGTGTTAGTGGCAAAGAAAAAGACTTTTGTTTGGTCAACCAACTCGATCGGAAGTGAGTTCAGTTTCCCTGAAAGGACACCTTCAGTGGATGATTGATACTTATTGTTGTCCAGGCACCCTGTTGAGCACCGGGTGAGCACCGTTCGGTTCCAGACATCTAAGAGCATCCCACAAGAAAAAGCTGCCTTGTAAAATCCATACATGTGCAGATTATTTTCCTGTTCCCCAAGACAAAACCTGTACTTCTCGGACAAATTCGACAAATATTCCATTGTTTGTAGCGCGTCCAAGAGGAACCCAGCACATTTGGTGTGGAAATTCATACATGTTTAAATGTGCTCCTTTCCTTCAAGAGGAAACTAAACAAAGGGAGGAAGTAATTGCACACCTGTGTCCAGCGTTTTCCTTTTTCTTCCTCTCATTTTGTGGACATCCGGTTAAGCCCCAAGTTGTTCTTTGGAAATCAAGAGGGATTTTCCATTGTTTGGGGTGGGCATCCCATTTTAGGGGGCGAATGTCTTTTGCGAGGAGGCCCCAGATCTGGCTGGGGACTTTCGTCTGGAGGGCGGACGAGCTGTGCGGCGCCCAACCATCCACGTGCTGCCGCGGCTGACCCCAGCAGACACTGGGATGAATCGAACGTCACCGGTAGGTACCATCTTTCTGCGGGTTGATTCCGCGGTTCTGGTCCACCCTCGTGCTCTTCAAACAAGCAGATCCGGTGGTTTTTCGGGTGTCCGAGGTTTTCTAGAAAGATTATCACCGGAAATGGGCAAATGACCAGAGGCCCAAGCCCATGGCTCCCGTGGGCAGTTGGTAGGTGATTTCTGCGAGAAAATCCATTGCATCACCAGGGAATCAATCGCTTGCGACCTGAAACTGTGCAGCTGCTTGACGTAGAAACAAGTAGATGACTTTGCCATGGGTTGAGACAAAACCAGATCCCCAGATCCAGCATTTCACCCAAGTTCCTCGTGATTCGGGACCGGGAAATGGCTTTTGCCTCAACCAGGGTTTGAATATCCTTCACTGTTGCTGGCTTGCTCCTAGATATTTAGGTTGGTGTTGGTTCTCTTCATTTTTGGTGGGCTGCAAAAAGTCCGAGCTGTTGGCTACCATACCAAGGGTTATAAAGGGTGTTTCTTGCTGCACGTGTGTGAAACCCTGGATCACCGGAAGCTCCCTCCGGCCAAGCCACAGGGTCCAGCAAAGAACGTCTTGGGTCATGGAACCTCATGACACATCGTCGCGGCAAGCAATCTCAATCTGATGGTCCGCGCTTGCTTGTGCCGCCTTGGTGTTCTTCAGACCGGGTTTGTTCCTTGACCCATCCAGATCTGGAAAAGAGGCAAATCCTAAGTCAAGAATCCTTCAAAAAAGCTCGTCCTAAACCCTACGTTTCAGGCATTGCCCTCTCACCAAGGAGATCTCCCACATTTGGGTCGGGCACATGCCCCCAGCCGCGCATCTCCCGGAAGAGTTGCGATCCAAAGAGCACTTCGCCGAGTACTGGCGCTTGATCCACGGCATGACTTTGCCCTCGCACCCCACGGCTTTCGCACGCGCCTGGGTCAAGATTTGGGTATAAAAGAACGGATCTCTTTCGACCATGACAGAAAATAATGATTTGAGGCCTCTTTTTTCGGGTTCTCCGTTGACCAAGGCGTAGAGTTTGGGGCCAATTGCAGGGAGGCGAATTTGGTGCTCACGTACCCGGTGGTCTGCCTCTGGCGCACTCCTTGGACGGAGCAGCCGGCACTGAGCAGACAACATGGGCCCAACATCCTGCGGCAGGCAGCTCACTTCAAAAGCTACCCCCCGGTGAGTCCATCTCCCTCTCAGTAGGCAACCAAGGAAAAGTTGCCCAGACCGACTTTAAAGACGAGGGGTTTCTTCTACTGGTATCCATAACACTAGAGGGTGCTTTGGTGCCTAGGGAGTATCAAATGACAAATTCTATTCAACCATTCTCGGGTACTTCTGGGCCCGCAGGTTTATCCTTTGCATCTCCAGCGGTGTTGTGCGATTGAGGTGGTGCAGAGTCTCGAGAAATCCAGCTGGGCGCGCTCTACGGTGTCCTATGCCGAAGATGCGGATCCCCTGTGCTTGCATTTGCCGGCCAAGCCCGCCTCGCCATTGAAGCCTAAGCTGGAGAGAGCGGAGACGAGATCGCACCAGCAAAGCCATGGGAGTAGCACTCAACACACCAAAACAGATGTGTCGAAGCAAGAAGACGGGCAGAGCGGAAAGCGCCGCTTGATCTTGCCTGTCTTGCCAGTATCAAGCCAGCCGGCGAAGCGACGCCGCTGATTCATGTCATGGCCAAAGGCCGCGGATGTGTTGTGCAATCCGAATTTAGGGCAAGCCGCACGGGCAAGTGCAAAAGCATCCGACGGAGATGTGTGCAGAGCATCGGCTTTCGGGTGCGAAAGCGTCATTGACCACCTTGAGTTGCGACACCCCACCGATACACTTGGCCCTTTTGGTTCAAGCCAAAATGAGTGCGCAAAGCGCTTCGCATGCCACTCGGGACGAGTGCATAATCTCTTGAATCTCTTGGCCTCGTCATGTTTTTCGCGTTTCACTGGCCCGGTTCTTAGAGTTTCAGAGCGCGCACTCAGTTGTGGGTGGACTTGCCAAACCTCACGAAGGTTTCCCAGCGTCCTTTTCAGGATGCCTTCGGGCTTTAGAACGAACTATTGTTTTGCGGATGAACCTCCCCTTATGCAGAACTTTGGGAAGGCATCACAGTTAGTTGCAACCTGAGCACCGAGTCTCGTGTCAGGATGGGAAATGCAGCCAATCCTTGGAGGCCAAGCTGGCTTCGCAAATCGCTGTGGGAAACCCCCCTAAGACCCACCATAAGGATTTTGGGGATGCTACTGCAAACCTAGATATTGTTTGCGGTTGCAAGTCGCATCCGTGTGAACCTGAGTATATCCTTTTTTGTTTGATTTGAAGAGAAGCCACAGGGAAGGCCGGTAGCCATGTTGGGGTGTCCTCCTGTTTGGATTTCTTCTGCATCGGGATCAGGCTATGCATGAAGCGGTCCTCGTCCCGTGCCAGACTCAGAAAGGAAGGTGGACTCGTCCAAACCGGCTCGATGTCCCGAGAGAGCTGAATTGGCCTGGGTTCACGGTTCCAGCTCTATTTTTCTAGTTTTGGTGGTTTATACATCACCTTGTGCTTGCCAATTGAAAGTAAGTCTTCTTTTCGTAGGGGTAATGTTTACAGGGGAAGCACAGGGAACCCTGTTGTTTCAGGTCAATCCTCAAATCAGGGGAGTTCCTCCCACTTGAACAGCCCCTTTCGCAAGGCATCCAGTTCCATTCCCCGCCTGCCTTCGCTGATTCTCTCAGCTGAGGTGGGAGCCCTGAACAGGGACCTTCACAGGAGAGCCACCAGAGCAACCCACAGCCGAGGTGCGAAAACATCAGTCGTTGCTTTGCGATGTGTGTGTGTGTGTGGTGTTTTTTTGCTTTGTGGTTGTGGGTTGCTGTTCGGTGCTGTGTGCTGTGGGGTGTTCTGTGCTTTGTGTTGCCGTGTGTGTTGCTCTGTGTTGCTTTGTGCGCTTTACTCTCTGCACACGTTGCTTTTCTATTGCGTGTGTGTGTGTGTGTGCCTGTTGCACGTTGCGTGTTTGTGTTTGGTGACGGCCGGGAGGCATGAGATCCTCAGGGACATCAAGTTGGCAGCAAGCAAAGTCACCGCTGAGGCTGCAGCCGGTTGGCTGGTTGGCTGTTTGGTTTGCCAAGGAAGTGGCCCGAGCCCAGAATGGAAACTAAAAGACGGTTGTTCAACCTATTCTTCAAGGAAGGTTGTAACGTGCATAGGGAAACCAAAGGACCATACTGGGGTTCCAAATCCCTAGCCACCATGTTGCCAACATCCGTGCCAGGTGCTGGATGAAAAAGCTCACATCGACGGTGGAAAACTGATCGTGGCTTGTCGTGCACGGGTTCGAACGCATTCGAACTGCGATCGTTTTGTCTTTTGAATTTCATTTTGAGGCTCACGAATCAGCTCAGTTGCTGGTTTCGATGAGTGGGGTTTGAAGCCACCCGAAACCTCCGAACCACCAATCCAAACCACCCATTAGAGGGAAGCTGAGCGAAAGACAGACCAGGGTCAAACATATTTCTGGGGAGCAAAAGCCGAGGTAGAAGGACGAGGCGATTCACTCGATGGTTTTCCGAACCATTTCTCATCCAGGTTTCATTGCATGGTGAACCCTTCAAGACATATGATTCGCTTTCGAGGAACACGGTGCTTGAAGGTATGAGCGATGTTTTCTCCATGAGTTTGGAGACCCTGGGTAACCCTTGAGCATGGATCTGGCGACAGCCACTACCCCGTACCTGCTATGGGAGTGTGCGTTAACACACGCTGAGGAGTTCTGAACATGTGCTTTTGTGGGTGAGAACACCCTTTAAACCATGAGAGCAATTGAAGGATGTCACTTCAATGGACCCAGACACAGGTCTAGTCGGTGGACCCTTGAGAGATGCTTGTGTGCATTTCATTCCGCCTGTGTTTGACTCGTGTCAAGGCCAATGGACATGGGGCCTTTTTTCGGACCCACAGTTCATTTGTTGGACAGTCCCCAGCCCTGCGTTTTTTGAGGGCATCAGCGTTGTATACTTTGTGTACTCTTGGGGAATCATGGCGCCTGTCTTCTACTCACACAAGCTGATCCTTCTTCGTGCTTGCCTACTTTTGCTGTCTTACCTGAACCGCGCTCCCTTGAGAAGCTTATGTTTCGGCCAGGAAACAGAGAATAGAACACCAAAGCACAAAAAAATCAACGCCCGCACGGAGATGGTTTGGACATGCAACACAAAAGTCCGTGCAAAAATAGGAAACGATATGGCAAGTGCCAGCGAAATTGATTGTTGTGGATTGTTTTGGTTTTCGGCAGGGAGGTATATCATATCTCTGTGGCCATTTCCTAGAGAGGGTACGGGTGCCCCGAGCACGTGCGTTTCATTGTCAAGTGGTGTTGGGCGAGTTCTCCGAATAATGACAAACGCATTTGTAGGAAATGGATGCTTGCAGTTATTCAAGCGCTTCAAGAAACGTATCAGAAGCCGAACAGTTCTTAAACCGGGCTTTCAAAACGCTAGCCATGCACTAGTGGGAACCGAGCTGGAAATATGATCAATCTAAGCTTTGAATGCGCTAGAAAGTATGATGGGATCATGGAAACCCTGTGCTGAACACTTGCATCTCGCAGACTAGAATCCAGATGGCAACTCCCTGCTAAGGTCAAATGCTACAGATATAATGGGAATACACTAGACACATGCTGAAACCTATAAAAAATGCAATAGATATTGCAGATGTATGCTAGACATATTCTCGAACAATCTGTGACAAAAGCACGCAGTGCTAAAGCTCCTTAACATTGCTTTTTCCCCATCATTGAAAACTGTGTTTTTCCGCGTACAACGCAAAGGAAGTTGACCTCTCTTGTTGAGATCATGTGCAAGACGGGATGTTGTCCTTTTTGGGGGGAGGTTTCCCTGAATGAACCCAGTGAAGAACATCACTGAGCAAGGATCCTGAAGATCAGCATGTATTGTGTTTTTGCAAAATTGCTTTTGGGGCCTCGCGCTTCCCTGTCAAATAATACTTCCAAGCGCATGAGTTCGAGGGTGTCATCCTTGATAGACCCAGTAAACGTGTCACAGCATGCAAGAGCTCCGCCCCAAATCCAAAGTCCCTGTTCGTCCTAGCTTTTACGGATTTGTGGGGACCCCGTTGGAGTCAGCGATGTTGGAACTGCCCACTTCGGTGAATAACTTTTAAAGGCCGGGAGCAGTTCCCTCAAATCACACTGGGAGCCAGGAGGTTGTATCAACCATGTCCCAAGAAGAAGAAGCCTTGCCCGAAGGGTTCCAAAGCAATGACCAAGCCATTTCGAAAATATTTACTCACATCCCGAGTTGATAAGTTCACAGACTTTAGTCACTTTTGGCGTTTGGGCCCATTTTGGGTGGAAAACAAAAAGGCTCGGGTGTTTTTTTAGCGAATCATGGGAGTGAGCCGAAGGCCTCATTGGCCAGAGTCTACGGCGACGTGATGGATCCAGAAGCTATGCCAGAAAGCTTTCAACTGGGAAGCCAGGAGTAGTAAACCCCGTTGATTTAGAGGGGAGTGTCCCCTTTTAGCGTGGGTTATCACTTTTTTGGAGAGAACACTCCCACAACAATAGGACGGGTTTGACAATCCTGGGTCAACATCAACTTCCAACTTTTGCTTGCTAGAACAGCTCCATTGTAGCTTGCACAAGGGGCCGAGAGTCTGACCATGGCCTACACAAGTGTTGACCTCATGTGAGCAACATTTGATGATCCCCTAGCAGATAGTTGGATTAGTTGTGTGTGATGGTTATACGTTACTTGTGGTAACATTGTCAGGTGTCCACAATTGTACTGTGGCTGTTGGCCGGTCTCCACATTTAGATCATTTCAAGCGTGAAGTACCATTCACTCGGTTTCGAATATTAATTGCAGGGCTTCTTTTTACGAAAGCAACATGGCCCCAGCAGGTTTGCAGGTGTTTGAAAAGTTTCCGGGGGAGTTCCCGGTTGACACCAACACACCTCGATTTCGAAATCGCCCTCGATGCCACCAGACACAAATTGGGGCGCAGCAACCGCGCTTGAACTCGCTGGTTGCGCTCGTTTGTGATCCGTAGTCTTAGTATGTGTGTGTGCGTGTGCGTGTGTGCGGCTTACCTTTTTTGATGTGATGGAAATGAGCCACAAAGCATTCCTTCTGCTTTGCATCTTGAAGTATCGTGCCCGTCTCAACGTGCCCTTCGCTTGTAGGAAACATCCGTGCCTTTGAGGCGTTTTTTTCTTGTGGTTAGGGGCAATGGAGATCCTTTTCTGGGGCTCCGATTTCAAGACGAGCAGGCGGCGTGTCGATCTCAGGCCAGCTCGGCGAGGTGCGCGAGTTGCTTTCATGGCGCCTTGGTCGCCAGCACTCGCCGGGTTGAAGTGACATCCTTGAGCCAAGTGGGCATTTTCTCTTTGTAGGCGACGCCCCAACATGGGAGTTGGTCCCTTTGCTTTTCCTTGAAAACCTCAACAAAAAGGGTCCCAATCCCAAAAAGGGCGCATTTTGGCCAGGGAAACCAGACCAAGAGTAATTTCGAGCCCTGAGCGTTTGCAATGTCCTCTTGGATTCGATGAAGACATGTATTGCCCAGAGGGGCATTGGATGCTGCTTGCCTTCAACCCGCTGCAGTTTGCTCAGCCACTGAAAAGGCGAACTGACAGCCAAGGTTGTCGCAAGCCCACAATAAGCATTGAGGACTACCTGGTGCGCTTGAGAAGCTATTTCATGTGCAGCGACTCCTGTTTCCTCCTAGCGCTCATTTACATTGCGCGGCTTGTGGAGATTTGTCCGGACTTTGTCCGAGCCTGAGAGAGAGGCGGTGGATTCCACCGCGATTTGAAGTGAGAGTTCTTTGGCCTGAAGTGTTTCCCTTTCGGCTGCGCCCAGCTGTTTGTCCGGGGAAAGGACGCCCCAGGCCACCAGGCCCCCAGCCCAGCCGGCCCCCAGGCCAGCCGGCCCCTCACCTGCAACAGTTTTGCATCCCCATTCCTAGCAGGACCAAAGACCATGGCTTCCGCATCACCAGCATCCGCAAGCAACTTTCGCATCAGTGATGCCTCAAGTTTCTGCAAACCCACGCGTGTACCAAGTAAAATTGCTGGTGCCTTGTGCCACACTAGCCAGACCATGGTGATGCTGATGATGCAAAGTAGGCTGTGGTTTTGTAGCGACCCGGTCCGGTTCCCCAACAAAGTCAGGACGGGCAACAAACAAAGCCTGCAGAAGCCTTCTGAAGCTCCCATACAAGATCTGTGGAAGAAAGTGGTTCCAGAAGATTTATTGAAAGAAATTCAGCATGTTTCTGTAAATCCCTGAACAAGATCTCCGTGGAAGGATCTTTGCAGGATCTGTGGACAGGATCTCTGGATAGGATCTCTTGGCAAGATCGGAAGGGTCTATGCAGGATCTCTGCGAAAGATGTCTAGGTAGGATGTCTTGCAGCATCCCTACGACTAAACACCCTCTACAAGACCAAGACCTCTTCAAAGGGAATCTTTGCAGATCCTGCGCAAGGCCTCTTGGGAGGATTTGTAGTAGGAGCAGCGCAAAGCTTTGGGTTTTTACAGGATGTCTACGCAAACTCCTCTTGGCAAATTTGTGCACAGAATCCTTGAGAGGGTCTGCACGAGACCTCTTGAAAGGATCCTCTCTACAAAGGGCCAGCGCAAAATATCTACGGAGGGTCTGTACAAGATCAGGCTCTCTGCGCAAGATATCTGGGTATGGTCTCTCGGCAAGATTCGTGCACAGGATCCATGAGATGACTATACGTATACCCTTTCTTTGCTCAACATCTGTAGGGAGCGTTTTTGTACAAGATCACTTGGGAGGAAAAATTGTCCAGGTCCTGCGCAGGAGCTCTTTGAAGGCTCTGCGCAAGATATCTTTGGAAGGATGTGTTACGTGATTTCTGCGCAAGACTTCTTGAGAGCGTCCCTTGGCAAGATCTGTGTCTAGCATCTCTTGGCAGGATTTGTGCGCAGGAACCATGAGAGGATCCTCTTTTACTGGAGTTCATCGTCAAACTTCACAAAACCTCTTGCAAGAGTATCTTTTCAGTTCCTGTACTTCGACGTTTGTGATTTGCGCCTCGCCCCTGCGAGAGCGGTCCGAGCCCCCTAAAGCCCGCAGAGGGTCAACAAGAGCAATCCAACCCGCGCAGAGTCCGCAGAAGGTTCATCTTCGACGTTCGCGCTGTGCCACAGCCAAAGCAATCCCATCCCAAGCCCGCAGAAGGTTCTCTTTCGATGTTCACAAGTCGCACCGCACGCAGCTCGAAAAGGGTAGCCCATGGCAAAGGTCCTCACCATGTTTTTTCGAACTGCGTTTGTTTGGCCATTTTTAAAACCGTTGGCTGGGCCTCCCGGCAGAAACTCACTGCAGGACCCACGGTGGCCTTTCAGCTGCCCGCTTTGCGGCAAGAATGACTAGCTTGTTTTGGTCGGCTGCGCGTGCTTCTGCCCCTCCGCCCCGCAAGGCAGTGAATCCCTTCTCGATTCATCGGTTGCTGGCAATCAGCCTGGTGGTCAGCGTCAAGTTTCATGAAGACGTGGTGTACAGCAACTTGGCAAGGGCTTGGCAACAAGCCCACTTGGGGTTTACCCAGCTGGCCCTTCTTTCGGTCTCTTTTTGCTGTATTGGCCAGATGCGTCAAATCGTTGGCAAGGACTTCGGAGTGTGTGATACTTCTGTTCAGCTGCTTCCTTGTCCGAAAAAAACAAATCTTGGGAGGGCGCGGCTGGAAATACTTCGGCTACGAAATCCCCGCCAGGCGCCACAAACGAATGAAAGCAAATGAAACAAAAGTATGCGGCCCCTTCTTCTTGCGGGGCCCCAAAAGCCCGCCCTCCACGGGGTGTTTGAGTGGTTTGCAGGCTCAGTGCAGTATTCATACCATATTCACAGGATCCCACCCAGCACTCGCCCCAACCATGGCAAACAACGCAACTCACAAAAAAGGTTTGTGCGTCTCAGAGCGTCAACAACAATATGTTGGAGGGCTTGGATCCTGCAAAAGTTAAATTGAGCGCTCGGAGTAAAATGTGACAGTCCTTGAGGTTTTCTCTACTTTTGCCGAAATCCCGGAAGCTTGCGTCTTCCAGGGTTAGTAGAGCGGGGTTGGACCTTTGAAAAGTTGCGCGTGGCATGGGGATTTCAGCCCCAAGACATGGCGTCCTTGCTTTTGCTGTCCTTGTTGAGCTCTGTAAGGGCGGGCCCAAGCATTGAGGCAATACCTTCTATGCCCACATCTGTGGGCTGCAGCACGAAGAGCTCAACAAGGGTGAGGTGGAGTTCTTGAAAATGCCGCTGCCACGCAAGCTGGCGGGGTGGTCACCAACCAGGGAATTGAGATTACTAACACAAGGGTTCGCCGGGAAGTGTCCGTTTGCGACCCACACGCAGGTGAGACGTGTTGTCCAGCTCTGAAAGGGCTGAATGCTGCACAGGACAGGCCTAAGCGCAAGTTCGCGCTAACTGCAGCAACAGTTAGCCCACCATTTGCGCTGTGCAGTTTGGTGCCCTGTTGTGCACGTAGCTCCTTCGGTGAGCATAAGGGCAGCATAAGGTTCCCATGCGACTCACGCCGGCCAACACAGGATGAAGCGAACAAGGGAAGACAAAGGAGTTTCAACCATGGCATATATGAGCAACGGACGTTCTACTGCCAGGGTATCGGTTCTGCGCAGGTTTTCGGTTTTGCTGGTTGGTATCGGTTTTCGATAGTCCAACCCTAGTCCGATGCATCAAAATGAGTCCTTTGCGTGTCGGTGCTTCACCTGCACCGCAGAATCGCTGCGATACAACAGAAATGATGTCCACCAAAGGGTTCTTCTAATACATCCACACTGTCCACACTCATATTTCTATCACCCGGGGGGGTTGGATTGTCGGACTAGGATCGGTGGCTGGTGTTGACAAGAATCTAGTGGATTGAAGGGCCCATGTGCAGCCCTTAGCAATGGACCCGACGGCTGTTAAAGAAGCAAATGGTGGCTCCGTCCCAGCACCCTTGGATGCGATTTCTCTCCGTGTGTGGACGATTCCGAGCCGGAAGATATTGCGTTTGTTCAGCTACTGGCACATGCTCAATTCCTTTTGCCACGCCTTCCATTTGCGTCCCCAAAGAGCACCACCACTTTAAGAACTGGTTCAAAACCATCTACAAGTTTATGCACCCGCAGTAAAAAATGGTTGGTTGACAAGGATCTACGTAGAAACTGCCACCAAAGGATCCAATCACTGTTCTTAGCCGCCAAGGTTTTCCTTTGATTTCCCACTGGGGTCCTTGTTTTGACTTTGTACCAAAGTCAGATGGGGTTGTTGCCCTGTCTCGCACTGAGGGGCGATGGCAAAAGGATGCGGCCACCAAACTTAAGGCCCCTCTCAGGGCCTTTGCGACCCAAGGATCAAATGGGATCTTGGCTTCTCTATCGAGCAGTTCAGCCAGGTGTACAGCGAGGCGTGGGAGTCGATTTGTTTGCCACCGCTTTGATTTTCAGCCTGAACTAAAGGGTGATTTGGAACATCTCCCGCGGCTTTGGTGCCCAGTATCCTTGGGAAGGGGACCCCTTTAATCAACCAAGAAACGGTGCCCTTCTTCGCATGGCCGCGTGTGGACAAAGAGATTTGTTGAATGGGTCCGAATTTGGTGGTCCAAACCATCCTGGAAGAGGTGGAGCCCAACATAGCCCAGCCTCGGAGCTGACACCTTGGCAAGTTGCACTTAAACTTGGTGGTTTTCCTGGTGGGTTCCCTTTAAGACAACCTTGACAAAAGCACCAACTCCAAAAATGCAAACCAAAGAAAGTGTAGCCCAAGAAGGTCCGCACAAAGCAGAGTCCTCGATGAGGTGGTTGCGAATGGTTGCACGTCGCCCTCTGAGATGGGATGCATACACACACACCATGTGAATCAAAAGAAGGGCTATGAATCCTGATTCAATGTCATTTGTATTGACTTGACCTCAACATGTGTGTCAAATCAAGGAGCACAAGTTTGGTGGTGTTCATTTTCTTTTTTTTTTAAACAGCCCAAAAACTGTTACCCTCGGCTTTGATAGGATCTGGAAGTGATTCATTGGGCAATATCCCTCCACGTGGAAACCCGCAGGTGCTGCAAAGCGCGGACAAGATCCTGTAATTAAGTTCGAAACCGCGCGGTTTCGGAGTTCGTATGGCGGTGGTAAGCGCTAGTCCGGACCATGGACTGCTCGCACCGTTCCGTGGAGTCCACAGTTTGTATGCCTTGGAAACCGGAAAAGCCGAAAAAGCCAGAAAAAGCCGGAAGCCTCCGGACGGCGCGAAGGAAAGAAATTGATTGCTTTGTGTTGTGCAAACTGAGGTTCACCATGTTTTGCAGGGTGTTTCTCGAAATTGACTTGAGGTGGCTGGTTGTTTTGTTGCCAAATAAAGAAAGGACGCCCGAGGCTTCAGGATGGTTTGCTTTCCCGAGTTGCGGCAAGGCTCCAATTTTGATGTTTTGGTGTGCAAAAGTGTGCACGAATCCTGTGCAAAGCTGCACGCGAATCCCAATCCCCCTGTGCTTGCCCTATTCGTCAGCTCTAGGGCGGCTGCTTCAGTCTATGTCATCAGGGAGCTCTATTCCCTGCAATCCTGGGAATTGATTTGTCGAACACAAGCCGCAGTGCACACGGCGCTTGCAAGTGTTCAAGAGATGTTCATGGGGTGTTGTCGGGACATTCAGTGATTTTTGGGCCTCAGTGTTTTCGAGCGCCAGGGTGCTGCTCTTTTTGCTTGAGCCGCGCACACCACCAAAGGGTGCGAAGTCGTGCAAGCTGTTCAGGCGAAGACTCAGCCACACAGCTGTGTAAGACTCACGGGAAAAGTCTTTGCAATGAGTTTCGCAGTTGCCTAAGGCAAATCGACCTGTTTGTTTGCGGTTGGTTTCCCTTTAAACCTAAACAGTCTAACCAAACCCTCACCCATGTTTGGTCAAGGTCCCAAAAGGTTGTCCATTTCTGTCCAGATCTCAACGAGGCACTTGACTGGTCTGATTTGGTCGGCTCGCGCCAATCGGCTCAAGGAGACAAAGACGCATACATGATTTCACGCCAAATGTCGGGTAGGTTTATCGAAGCCCCTGCGGCACACAAAGAATTATCAACCTCAAACTGAGAAATGAGCACCTTCCCAAGCCTTCTTGAATGTCATTTGGAAACAGATGACTCCTAGAGCACGATATTCCGATTGTGTCAGACACGTGTTTTCATATCGTGTTGACTTCGCTAGAAGGTGTATGTTTGTTCGTGAGGCATTGGGAATCCTGAACGAATCACGGTTGGAAGACTGTAGGGGAAACCATGTATGTCAGTGTCCTTTGGAAGGTAGGCCATTGCCATTGGCAAAAGCACTAGGGAAAATGCGAAGCTCAGAAAGCAGGGTCAAACCATATTTGAGGCCAAGAGACAACCAGGAAACCAGCCATGATTTTGGCAAGCAGCCATGTGGCCATGTGTGCCATTTATGCTGCGGTTATGAGCATTTGACCTGCATCCCCTTCGTTTACTGGACTGATCGCATTCCTCACTTCCCGAGTTGGACTAAAGGTCCCTTGGGAAGACCCTGTTAGTGGACCAAAAAGTTTGGGGTTTTGTTTTGAAGCCCATCAGAAATGAATACCATGAACAAACTTCCGGTCTCAAGTTGCACTCCGCGCAGATTTCCATGGCGCAAATCTCAGGCCGGACGACTGGGTCCAAGCCCCGAAAGTCGGCGGACAAAGAACACTCGGCTTCTTTCCCTACACTCTTTAGGGGTTCCTTCATTTCCTGCTCCAAGCAAAAAGTTTGGTTTGCAGGGGGGGTCTCATTCTGGCCAAGATTAGGTGGTCTCCCCGTTTCCCGGCAGCACAGCACAGCGTTCCTGTACACTGTCGCAGTTCACTGTGTAAATATCACTGCCTCAGAATCCTTGTCAAGATGAATAGCCCACTGTACCTTTGTCTCTTTCAGTTCACTTCTCGGATCTTTAATTCTCTGTATTCGTGGGAGCAAGGTGTTCTCTTGATCCCGGACGAACTCGCTGTGATGGTGCACGTGAGGGTCCGCAACTTGTGGTTCCGACATCCTTTAAGGGTCCAAAGGTTTGTCTCATAAAACACGTGGTGGCTCTCCGAATCCACCCTGGTAGGCGCCTCGACGGCAGCAGTCTTTCAAATTCGGTCCCTTGAGGGGGAGTGTCGGCATCAGGAGGGCCCCGGGAAAGGGCGATGGTAACATTGACGACCTTGGACCATGGGATGAGAACTCATCCATCGCTGGCAGAGCTCCAGCATCTGGCTCCTCAAGCGGGGTCTTGTGCATGGAACAATGGATGAATAAGTGGCTTATCCATCAATGGCAAGGATGGTCGTAAATGAGTTCCGTGAGCGTGATTGTTTGGCGCATCCGGACGACTGATTTGGGAAGGGTTCCATTTCTTGACCACTCCAACGTAGACTTGAGCCTAGGGGTTTGTTCTCGTTTTGGGGAATGATGCAACCCTGGGTTCACGTCTACCCTGAGGTAATCGAACAAACGGAGTGACTCCATCAGGCACGCTGGCTGTGGATGATGAGGATGATGACCTGGCGATGGACCGGGTGATTCAGCAGCCCGCTCCTTGTGTCCAGAGCTTGTGGCACCAGCTCCAAATATGTTTGAGTTGTTTCCAGAGGTTCGGTTTTTGTTTAACGTTTTTCTGCGGAATTTGTGGTTCCAGATGCTTTTGACCTTCATCTCATCTTCTAGTTCATGGACCGAGACAACCCTGCGGATCTCGGTCGCCACGGTAGCAGGCTCGGGTGAAAGAAATTCCTTTGAGCCTTTGGTTTGGTCATCCATGAGGTTGACACGGAACCCAAGCAATCGCTTTTAGTCTGAATGTCTCTTTGGGGGAGAGTCTCTTTTTTGGTTCCCGTGTCAATTTGCAGAGCACGTATTTGAACACGTACGGTCCCTCTCCAGGTCCCAAGAAAGATTACAAACGGACCTCGCTGCGCATGGTTTCGATGCATCGAATCTGTGGATTCATAAATTGGGGGCTGAAAACGTGTCATATCCACAGCGTATCCAAGCCGTTGGCTCGATTGTGACCTCAAAGCACATCTGCAGAAATCGAGGCATGACGTCTCGGGCTTGGGCTTGTCATCTGCTGCAGCGCCGACGCATCGTCGGGTTCCCAGTCCTTGTGCAGAAGCTATTTCAGGTGTACGATTGAATCCAGATCGCGACCCCTCGCAAAGCCGAATTCAGCAGCTTTTCTGGAAACGTTTCTTGCGGATGGGAGCCCTTTTTGTCGACCCTCACATCCTTGTTTTTGGGCTTTGTAACTCTTGTAACATGGAGGTCAAAGAACCACGAAGTCCCTAAATCAGGTCCATTTGCCTGTGGAGGTGGCCATGGTTGTGGCAAGGGTTTAGGACCAATTTCTGTACCAAGGGAATTTCCCTGGGCCTACCTTGATGTCCCACAACCATGAAGGGAACATCCCCACCCCCTTAAAAATAGTTGATTGGGGGAGGGGGATTTCGATGTTTCCTTTTATGGGGAATACTCGAGAAGTGGGATTGGAGAACCTCTACCAATAAGGGAACCACCCTTTCAGCATCTAACAGGACGCATTTTTTTGCAGAATCCGCAGGCTTCAACCGCTCCTACAATGCCGCGGCCAGCAGTCCGGAGTCCCGATGCCAGCCCCCGTCGAGTTCGCAACAAAGTCCTGTGGACGTCAAAAAGCGAGACAAAATGGGTCTGTCTTTTGGGAGGGTACCCTTTAGGTTGGTGTAAAGGAAAATCCATGGAAAACTGCCTATTTTGGTGGGTCCGCAAATTTGGAGACATGTCATCAACCCCAAGGTGTCCTTTGCTAGCTGGGTGATGGTTGATCTTGCCTTGAGTTTAAAGGCCTTGAGCAAATCGAAGTTGCTGATTTTGCAGGGGGGATGCAGCCCACACACACCCACCTAGTTGGAGGGAATGGTTTAAGGGGGTTGCACCATCCCCAAGCCGAAGCCACTCGAAATGGAAAATTGAGTATATACCGCTTATATAGTGGCGCCAATGGAGTATATACGGCATGGGTTTCTCTCCCAGGTGAGAAGCGCCAATTTGGGTACGAGGGCGACTCCGACGAGGAGGAGGGCCGATCAGATAAACCCCGGTGAATTCTGAGATTAGCCGCCCAACTGGTGAGTTTCGTCCATCACAAGGGTCATTTGACTTCTGGTTCTCAAAGCCAGGGCATGTGTCCCGTTCTGCTTCTTGGATGGATTTTTGGTGGCAAAACGGGCTAGCCCCAAACACACCAAGGGCCATTTGTTTTTCAGGGACCCTCAAAATTGCGGCTCCTTTGGTTTTCCTTTAAAGCCACCCAAAAACCCGGGGAGGCTGTGAGAGAGAGGGCGCAGAAATGGGCTCAGGGGATACCCTCACCAGCCGATCCATCCGTGTTTCGCTGGGATTGATCCCATGTTGGAATTCGCGGGGACAAATCTGGACGAATCGGGACGAATCGGAACTTCTCTGAACGTCAATCTTCGCGCTCGGCAGGTGGCGCCGGAGCCTTCGGAGCCTCCACCAGAGTCCTACCTTTGCCACAGGCGCGCGCATCGAATGGCGGCCCGGCGCGTCCATTCCTTGCTCAGGTCCAGGGAAGCCTTAGTTTAAAAAAGAGAGAGAAGGAAGCAAAAGGGCCAACACCTTGTTTGTACCAATTTTGGGAGCGGACGGAGTTTCAATGATCCCGGGCTGGCAAGCAAAGGGGTTGAGCAAAGGGCCGACTACCTAAGGGCACCAAAAGGAGGTTCTTGAAGCAACGGGTGCTTCAACATGTTTAGTTGAGGGGGTGGCCCAACCTTGTTGGGCATGAAAGGGGCCCAAATCCCAACAATACTGATTCCCCCCAAAGAATCGACCTCCGGTGCTAAGTTGATTCAAAAATTATGTAGGTGTGTCTTGAAAGGAACCCCAAAAATGATGGTGATGCCTTTAGTTTCGCTTCCGGCCGGGGGGGGGGAGGGACTTGATGGCAAGATAGTGCCAGGTTTCGTGGCCTGGTTTGGTTTGGAACTTGAACGGCTGATTGTCGGAAGACAAGAGTGAGCAACCTACCCCAGAAGTGAGGATGTATAGAGGAAGTTTAAGCCTTCGTTGTTATTATTGTGCGCCTCTAAAACTTATGGGGTGAAATATTGTAACTCGCTGGATGCGCTGATGAAATCTTTGATGCTGTAGCCGCCGTCATCACAGTTGGATGTCACGGAAAAAGCAAAGTAAGATGATACTCCCTGAAGATTAGCTTTGAGCCCAAACGACCGTCATTGTATTCCTCCGCTGCACCCCTCATATTGAGTTCCGTATAAATGTGCTGGGGAGTACCTCAAGACTTTGCCCTGGGACTTTACCTGCCAAATCAAGTGTTGAGGCTCCAGACTGGCAAGTCTTGTTTTAGAAGCAGGTGACAAAAGGGATAGCTCTACTTATCACCCTGGCATGTGCTTCAGTGCCTGCATATTGTCAAAGCGTTCAATCCTTTGCCTGCTCCTAAAACCCCCCTTCCTCATTGTCTCCTTCAAATGAGGCCTTGATACGGGCTCAGTAGGGTCTTATTTCGGGTAATCGGGGAAGGGGATGTTACGCACGCACGGAGAGGTTCAGAAAAGATGTGGATACACAAATGTGGCCCTTCCGGGAGCAGCACAAAGCCAGTGGCAGAAAAGATCTTGTTGGGCCAAGGGGTACACAAAGTGACCTCAACCCCTGCTCCCCGACGGCGCAGCATAGTTGTGAAACAGGGCACCAAATACCAAGTGGACATAACATGAAGCCATTCTTGGAAACCGCCAGAATTTGGAGTAGTGGGCAGTACGACAACCATGAAAGGGCCCTATTTTTGGGCACGAAGCGATCAGCCATTGCGCCAGTCTCTTTTGAAATAAGTTCCATTCAAAGGGTCACATATAGAATTTGTTTGTTTGGGTTCAAAATCTGAGCAAGATATTGGTGGCAAAGTGAAAGGACTTGGTGTCACCAGGCCGAGCAGAACGACCTAAGAAATTTGCCACATGTCCCACGATTTCTTGGGCTTCCTTCAGGCTGAATTCAAAGGAACGTACCAGTGGGTTGCGGCAATGGCTTCAGTTGGCCCATGGCCCGGTTCTGATTCAACAGTCCGTGATTCCAGTTTTGTTCGGCTCCTCAATTGTCATGCTCATCAAGTTTTAGTCATGGCCCCAAAAGGTGAACCTGTTATGTCCATGTCCTTTGGGCAAGTGATCACAGACTATTTCTTTTTGACATGGTTTTGCTGGTTTGCTTCTTTGGTGGCAAGAATTGACCAGGCTTGGGCAAATAAGTTTAGACCTCTCCTTAAAAATAGGAGAGAGGTGACACATTCCATGTACTTGTCTATTTTCCCTTTGCAGGGGTACTAGATCAATGGAATTGGGTGCCGAACCCCCACCCCCCTCCCCCGAAAAAATACTTTCTTTGAGTGCCATTCGCAGGTGCGGCATCCATGGCTCCCATTGGGCATGGGAAGCTTGGCGAGCATCGGGGGGCTTCGGGGCGTTCCGCGGCCTGAGGCCCCGGCCATGTGACCAAATTGGCCCAAACCAAGATGTCAAGAAGACCATGGGACTGGTTCTTTTGCGTTTCCCCAATATGTCGATGGTACATGAGACAAACAGGGAGTCGCTCTTGTTCTTCTTCTTCTTTTTTTTGGGTTTTTTTTTTATTTTTTATTTTTTTTTCGGGGGGGGGGGGATATCGTGAATCCCCGGATGTCCTTCCGAAACTCAAACTGACTGCTGTATTGTATGACCGCGCCTCACGTGGGTATATCTTAGCAGGGATGTTCCACTGGGTGGCGTGCTTCTGGCTGCTCTTAAAACCATCTCAGGCCCTTGTTGGAAGACACATCCGCATCCACCTTTTGTTGGCCATGTAAAGCTGTGTCCATTTTTGGTGAGCGTCCTCAAGATGCCCCTCTATATTTCACACAATGGTGAGAGGGACAGCACCACCAGAAGCAACTTTGAGAGCTCGGGCCCAGTAAAGGAGAGTTTCCTCTGGGGTGTTGTTCACAGGGGAGATGTGGGGAACACCGTTTTCTTATGGTGAAGGCATTCAGTTTGTCAAAAAAATGAAGTGTGGTCAACATGTCCTGATTTGTCTATCCAGTTGGGAGGGACAAGAAGGGGGGGCTGTCTAAATTTCCTGTCAAAACCAGGGGCCGCTCTATTTTCCCATGTCCAGAAGAGCAACAGGAAAAATAATTGACCGTCGCTCGCATGCAAGGACTCGCAACCCGTACCTGTGGCTTAGACCAAGTTCAACTGATGACCCAAGCGACCAATGGCTTCTATGCTCAAAATGGGACATACGTTGGAAGTTGGGATGGAAAAAACAATGCGTAGTGGTTCATAAACCACCGAGCGCCAAGTGCCCGGCGCAGATATTGGTTTTGTCCATGCACCGGATTGGGCGTCTTCCGGCGCAGGTCTCAGCCCCCTGCAATGTTGCCCTAGTCAAGCGGGTGTATACATAGATACATAGATACATAGATACATAGATACATAGATAGATAGATAGATATGAAACGGCGGGCGTCCATGCACATTTCCCAGACATGAGGTTTGCTTGACCCCGAACCCTTCTGGTCGGTTTCGCAACGCGAAGCTGAGGAATGTCCCACCAACGATGATCCGGAACACGTCCGCAGAGCCGGGAGCCAAAAATCAAGTTGACACGAATCGGTCGTCGTGGGTCGAGGCTTGGTTCAAGCCTAACCTGTTGTCCAACTTAATAGCGTACTAAGCAGGTTGAGTGTGCCCTTTGATTCTTTCTAGGGGCTGCAAAGGAGCATGTGTCATGTGTTTGTTTCAGGGTTTCCTGCATTTCGTTCTGCCAGCTAACACCATCCAAATTTAGGCGAAATGCGTCTTTGACAGGGTGATGTGTGTTTTAGACGGACATGTCTTTTTTGAGGATACTCGTTTTTGGGTTGGTTTCAAATCAAGCCAAAAGGGAAATATGAAGTCCATGTGGGGGTCTGAACGACAAACCCGTTGAATCACCGTCTCGTGTGAATCGACTAAGGTGCGGCCTGCCAAGGGCATCCCTCGACAATTCCTACGGAAGGCATTGACGAAGCACGAGATGGAGCCCAGCGCAAGGGCTGGTTGCTCCATAACAATGGGTTTCTTTTGGTTGGTTGTTTGCTTGGTTGGCTCTTTTGGTTGGTTCTTTTGGTTGGTTCTTTTGGTTGGTTTGATTGGTTCGTTTGGTTGGTTGGTTTGGTTGGTTCGATTGGTTGGTTGGCTCGGTTAGTTCTTTTAATTATTGTTGCTTGGTGTTTTTGTGTCTTTTGATTTAGGTTGGTTGTTTGCTTGCTTGGTTTGGTTGGTTCGTTTGGTTGGTTGGTGCTTTTGGTTGGTTGGTTCGTTTGATTGGTTGGCTTGGTTTGTTCTTTTGGTTGGTTGTTTGCTTGGTTGGTTTTTGCAGCTGGTTGTTTGCTTGTTTCTTTGCTTGGCTGGTTTGGTTGGTTCGTTTAGTTGGTTCTTCTGGTTGGTTGTTTGCTTGGTTGGTTCTTTTGGTTGGTTTGGTTTGTTTGGTTGGTTTGGTTGGTTGGTTGGTTTGGTTGGTTGGCTTGGTTGGTTGGTTTGCCTTGGTTCGTTTGGTTGGTTTCTTTGGTTGGTTGGTTTGCTTTCTTGCTCCGTTGGTTTGGTTGGTTTGGTTGGCTTGGTTGGTCTGGTCATTTGGTGGGTTGGTTTGATTAGTTTCTTTGGTTGGTTTGGTTGGTAGGTTGGTTTGGTTGGGTGGTTGGTTGCGTTGGTTGGTTGGTTGGGTGGTTGGTTGCGTTGGTTGGTTGGTTGGTTGGTTGGTTAGTTTGGGTTCTTGGATGGGTTGCTTTACTGGTTTGGTTGGTTGGTTTGGTTTGGTTGGTTTGGTTGGTTGGTTGGTTTCGTTTTTAGTGCTGCACAAGATTGGCTTTGAGAGTGTTTGATGGGCCGGTTGCCCAATTGCCCAAATTTGAAACAGGAAGCATCAAAGTTTGGGCTCGCCCTATCATTAAATGTTGCCAGAGGCCCTTGGCGTTTGGACGGTCCCAACCTGGAAAGCTTGAACACATCGCCCGGGAGGTTTTGTCAGTTAGAAGGGGATGGGAAGTGTTTGCTAGCCACTTTTTTTGAACCTTGCCACTGCACTGGAATCTGCATCGGTCAGCGAATAGAAGCCATCATTTGGAAGCCCGCTTCTTCAGGTGTTGGGGTCAACCGTTTGTCTCAAGAGAAACCTCGCATTTCACAACCACATCCGGGATCGCCAAGAACAAATGGGTGTATACACATACCAAAGCCTCACAACGGTACGTACATAGGAGGGATATGCCAAAGGTTGGAATACCCTGGCTTAGGGGGGTCCGCCTGATGTTCAACCATTAATTGTTTGAACCATCCGTGTTCCCCGCAAAGAATGAGAAACCAACCATTAGATTCTAAGCAAACCATCTTCAATTTGTGATTTCGAAAGCCAAAAGGGGGTGAGCCCTCATTTATCGTTCAGAGATTCAGGCAGGCATCTTTCGTTCAAAGCAGAACATATCTTCTGAG